TTGTACAATGTACATCACAGAGAGGGCAAAGAAAGTCAATATACTTGGGAAAATGTGTGCATTGTTCCAGGTGGTCGTGCTGGATTGATCAGAATTGCTGCAGTATTGAATAATGCTTATTTGGGCTTTTTCATTCCTGATTATACTGCATACAATGAGATGTTGTCACTATTCAAGAACGTAGGTCACCCCCCTACCCCCTTTTTCCAATTGGTGGAAAGAATACTTGAAAGCTTACTTCGATTAGTTTGCGGCAATTCCATCTCCTCTCTCTGGAGAAGATGGTTACCACATCCACCCTAACAAAATTGAGGAGGAGATTTCTCGTGGTACCTCAGTTATCTTGACTTCAAATCCTAGAAATCCTACCGGAAAGGTTGTCAAGAACCCTGAGCTTGCTGAAATCCAAGATATCTGCAGAGACAGAGCCACTCTCATTATGGATGAGTTCTATGGAGGCTATAACTACACTAGTAATTGCGATGGTACCACAATCAGTGCCGCTGAGAATGTTGGAAATGTCGATGAAGATGATGTTTTGATCATTGATGGTCTCACCAAGCGCTTCAGATTACCTGGATGGAGAATTGCGTGGATTGTTGGACCAAAGGTTTGTTTTACTCTATATCTCCCAAACATCGCTAGCCTTACTAATGGTGAAATAGGAATTTATCAAAGCCATTGGCTCATGTGGCTCATACCTTGATGGTGGTGCCAATGTTCCTTTCCAAGAGGCTGCCATTCCTATGCTTGAGCCTAAAAAGGTTAGAGAGGAAATGAAGGCTCTGCAAAGTCATTTCCGTGACAAGCGTGATTATGTTATCAGCCGTCTTCGTGAAATGGGTTTCAAGATCAAGGAAGTACCTGACAGTACCTTCTACTTGTGGTTGGGTGAGTCAACAAACGCCAATATTCTTTGGGCACAAAAATGCTAACTTAATGAAACTACAGATCTTGAAGGACTTCCGGCTGCAATTTCCGACGGTCTTAACTTCTTCCAAGCATGTCTTGAGGAGCGTGTCATTGTCGTCCCAGGTATCTTTTTCGACTTGAACCCAAGTAAGAGAAGAGATTTGTTTGACAGTCCTTGTCACCATTTTGTCAGATTTTCCTACGGTCCAACTATGGAAACCTTGAAAATGGGATTGGATGGTATTGAGAGAGTAGTTAATAAGTAAGTTTTTCACCAATATTTCATAGGGTGATTCAGGAAAGTATACTAATAAGCGGATAGATTCACAAAGCCAGGAGAACCATTAGAACAGGCAATAGAAGATGAAGAAGAATAGAGAATCATGAAAGCTTTTATATGCGAAGAGATGATAGACAGCAGGTCATAGCGGCATACCTGACTTTTAGAACGGTGGATGTTTTCGTTGAAACAATAGCATTTGGACATACGGAATATATATGACGAATAGAACACACAATGTACTTGAACAAAGATATTCACACACTATTGCATACTCAATTGTCTCTTGCGTCAGGATTAGAAATAGGGGTTATATTACAACAGTCAAGTGTCTGCTTATGCAGAACACATCTGTATGATTTTTCTTTGCCTGATCGATCTCAATAATACTAGGTTATTGTTTCCTTGGCATTCGCTTCTGATTTACTCTCCTTTTCCTCCATCATTAGTAGTTTAGCAATCTCGATTTTTCGTATCGAATGCTGGATTTTTGAGTACTGCTGTGATGTGTAGAGAAGATTAACAGATGTGCAATTTCCTTTGCTAAAAGATGTTGATGCACATTTTGGATGGTTCGTCCTTTGATAATGAATAGAATATTATGATATAGTATACAGGAAGGGTTATGGTAATAAATATATACATGAAAATTAAGACTTTACTCAGACGTGCAAGATACACAGGTCTAGAACAAGCATTTGTACACAGACGAAGCAGATACGAAAGAGTTCGTGAACAATCAAGTGAAGCCATGCGCCCTTACTCCACCAGCACCATGACCAAACCAAACTCCAATCAATCCCCATTCCTAATGCCCGCCGCAATCTTCTCCGCAAGCGCATACACCGTACTCTGCGGGTGACCGGGCGGCAAAATCGCAAACGCGCTCGCATCCACGACTCGCAAGCCCTTGGTGCCGAAAACTCTCGCTTTGCTATCCACCACCGCCATGGGATCACTCTGCACCCCCATTTTACACGTGCAGGCCGCGTGCCACACCGTATGCAGCGTTTTCTGAATTGTCTCGAGGATCTGCGCGTCGCTGGAGACGGAGGGGCCGGGGAAATACTCCTGTCCGATGAGCACGGGGGCCATGAATTTCGAGGAGAAGGCGGCGCGCGTGCGTTTGTAGGCGGCGACGGCGACGGCTTGGTCGGTGGGGGAGGTGAGCCAGGAGGGGTTGATGATGGGGAGGTCCGAGGCCGAGGTGGAGGCGAGGGTGACGGTTCCGCGGGAGAGGGGCGCCACGAGTGCGCTGAGGATGGTGGCGTATTGGTAGCCGTCGCGGGGTTGGGTGGTGGGGAGACTGGCGAAATCGCCGACGTAGCCGGCGCCGGAGAGGTATTCGATTTCGGGCCAATCGGGGGGAAATTGAGAGAGATCGTTGAGGGTGGAGGAGGAGAAAGTGTTGCGGAGGGAACTGGGGAGTTTTTCCCAGCCGAGGTAATCGCAGATGGGGTTGGTCAAGGGGCCGACTTTTTCGATTAGATAGGGACCTATGAATTGTGCGGCGGTGTAGATGAGATCGTTGGCCAGTCTAGTTAATGTCTGCACTTTGACGCGATACGTAGGACCGAAGAAAATATGATCCCACATATTTTGGCCCACGCCCTCGAGGATGGAAATCGCTGGGATATTCCATTTCGCTAGTGTATCCTTGGGGCCGATTCCCGAGAGCATGAGAAGTTGAGGACTTTGAAAGGCGCCCGCTGACATGATGACTTCTTTCCGGGCATTGATTGTGTATGGGATGAAACCGAGTGATGTGACTTTGACACCGGTAGCTTTCTTGTCGTTATCAAAGAGTATCTTTTGCGCCGTGGTGAGCGAATAGACTTTGAGATTTGAGCGTTTCTGCACTGTAGAGTCATAATAGGCTGTTTGAGATGACTCTCGTTTTTGGCTGGAAGGATCAATAGTAGAACTACAATACTGTTTTCCCATGAGAGACCCAGTGTTGAAATCTTGAATATCGTTTATTCCAATTTCGCCTAGGGATCCCTCCATGTAACTCGAGAAAGGTTGTGCGTAATTAGCATACGAAACCTCCAGCGGTCCTCCCGAAGACGAATATGCAGACTAGAGATGTCAATCGGTATTCTCCAAGAAGAGAGTGAGGAATGATATACTTACAGCGCTAAACTCCGCCGATGCATTGGATGCCCGACTCGGCCCCGGCGGAGTGAACCGAACACTCTTTTGAAAGAAGGGAAAGAGCCCATCAAAAGTATACGATTGATCATCCACTGCATCGGCCCATTTCTGATACGACTGCGTGGTACCACGCTGATAGATCATGAAGTTCCTCGCCGAACTTCCACCGAGACATTTTCCCCGGGCATACGAGATCGAGCGACCCGCTGCACCAGCTTGAGGCGCCGTCACAAATTTCCAATCCACGAGCGGATTGGTATCAGCTGGACTAGAGCCCGCCCAGAAAGAGTCTCCAGCTGGCGTTGAGCTGAGCGCGGGATTGGTGATCTAAATCTGTTTAGCAAATGCATGGATGGTCTCGTGATGAAGATGTTTGTTTGTACCTACCTGGTAGAAAGTTCCAGCTTCAATTACTGCTACTGTGGTCCCCGAATCTTCGGATAACCGTGAGGCTATTGTCAGCCCTGCGGTTCCACCGCCAACAACTACATAGTCGAATGTAGTATCTGCTCTCTTTGCCGGGCCATCGGTTGTGGGGGCAGCAATGCTCAGAGGGAGTGCAGCGGCAACGTATAAGAGAGACTTGAAATGCATCTTTGTGAACACCGAGATGGGCATGTACAGTTCTCAAGATAAATGCACATCAAAGGAGAAATGATCTTTAAGTTATAGACATGTTTCCGCGTCCAAGACAACTTCTAGGCATGAGATCATACGATGGAATTACCCATAGCCAAGGAGCACGAAAAACCACTTGCGGCCGAATCCCCATACTAAGCCTCTCCACACGGGATTAAGACGAGAAATACAGCTGTGCCAATCTACCAATATGCGATATAGCTTTCCGACGGCGAGCAAACCATTATCAAAGTGAGCAGCATCAACCGAGAAAGTACAGCTATAGTAACAATTAGCACCAAATCCAAGACTCTCCAAAATATCCACTCTAGATCCAAGACGTCCTTGCGAACAGCGCTAAACCACATTTAGAAGAGACGAAGCCAAGCTCACATAATTAGATTCCGTATTGCCTAGCTAGGACGCGGGAGGATATTCTTACCGCAGCATTGCCGCAAAATAAAACCCATTCGATAATTCCCCAGTCGTTCCTGGATCCATGTGCCCAGACACTTAAAGTGGACTATACTAGAAGTAGCACTTGAGCTATGATGAACTACCGTTTTTGGTGGTAGACTAAGAGGTGGGAAAGCATTTGGGGGGTTCGGGTGTGCGGACGGACGGGCCCTTGCATCGTGGTATTGAGTCGTGTTGTAGAAGACATTGGACAAACATGTCATAAGATCTGGAACCTCGATACTATCAAGAACAACGGCATTCAATATTTCCAAGTTGCACATTCTCTTCGAGTTGAAGCTTCCACGTTTGTGAAGATTTGGAGACACAATTAACTTTCGGAGATATACTCAATTGAAACAACTCACAGCAGGAGCCAAAATTTACTAGTTTCTGCAGGAACGAGATGATGCATAAATTGCGGGGGAATTTCCGCGTAATATTTGCCAATGAAGTAAGTTAATTTGACTACATCTACAGCCATCCAAACTTTATTCTATACTCCATGTCAGTATCCAAGAAGAACGATTTCTATTTGTAGCGTCAAAGCTCAAATATCGCTCCTTGACGAATCACTTCCTCATGCAAAGCCAGGTATGGGAAATGTGACGATACCATCCCATACTCTCACAGCTGCTACATCAGGCTCATTACCAGAACCTCGAGTTCTCGCCAATTGTAATATCTGTAGCGCTGTGGCTGTGAGATGTAACGGGTATCTCAGACGGCTTGCTTCCTCGATTGCTTTGTTCTGTTTGATTGTGAGCACCATATACTCACATGGCATGATTGCAAGGGGTTCTTGAAAGTTACTTACTAGACGAGCAATAACATCATCAATAGAGGAATTCGAGGCACACTTTCCACTTAACAAAGCTGGCACTCTATCCACGAACATGGCGCTTGCTCCAGCCGCCCCTCTTACTACATCGTATAGCATCCCGGTGTCTAGACCTATAGCTTGACCAAAAGCCATTGCTTCTACTGCTGCGACTAAATGTACGCCTGCTAGTATATCTTCAACTAGCTTCAATCTCGGGTCATCCGCACTTGTAGTAAAGATTGTAGTCTGTTCGAAGACAAGACTTGGTCGGGTGGGGGTATAAGCTCTGACGAGGCCAGAATCATCGTCTAGACCAAACCCGGAGCGTACGCCGGACGCCAATACTTGCTCAGCTGCAGAGCACAAGAACAATGGACATTTGACTCTACAGCCATCGGCTGTCACGATACCCATATCTTTAACGATAATGTTTAAGGCCGAAAACGGATGGAGATTATTCTCCAACATATGCGGCACTCTATTTCCTAACATCCAGCTTTCACCAGATGATTTAACTAGATAGTCAAAAGCCTGCTTGGTGTTAAGACCCAAGAATGCAGCAAATCCCATTGCTTCTGATGCCATAATCATGTGTATACCTGCGAGAGCTTGATGTACCATTTTAACCTTGGTACCCGCCCCCAAACCACCAGGGATTATATGTAATGGGTCTGCCATGGCGTTCAATACCGGTTTCGCGGCTGCCAGCGATTTCTCCGGCCCAGAAGCGAGAACCACAAGCGTACCCAGAGCTGCTCGACCCGTACCTCCAGACACAGGTGCATCCACCAATTCCACATCTTTCCTGTTGTATTTATTGTCGAGTAATTCTCTGACTTCCGGTACGTGTGCGGGGAAAGCGGTGGAGCTTAGTATGATCGTAGCATTCGGTTGTAATTCGTGGATAGCTCCAGTGACATCGTCAAAAAGAACCGACAGCGTTTGCGCAGCTGTCGCTACCATGATCACGACGTATCTTGCATTGGCGACGGCAGATCGAGGCGTGGTAGCCGTGTTTCCGCCCGCGGATCTGAATTTCTCGAGCGTGGGTTCGTAGACATCGAAGCCAGTGACAGAGAATGTTTTGAGGAGATTCGTAGCCATGCCCATCCCCATAGCTCCAAGGCCGATAAAGGCCACGACTGGCTCATCAAATGAAGGCATGTTGTCAATGTGGAATGAACAAGAGATGAAGAACGGGAAGCACAAGAATTGATCAAATGCTACTTATACTTGAGAAGGGGTAATTTGAAGTCTTCATTTTGAACCTTCCCTACCAAACTCACCATTTAAAGCACCATGTAAATGGATCCCTCCAATATCGGTACCCCTCATAATTCACCCCAACGGCAGAACAAGTATGATATGACGTTCATGTCCACTTGCCATTTTTGTGTTTGTTTCGTGGGGGTTCTCGGATAGATATCCGTCAAATCAATACCCCATAAGCTACCCCCGCTCGCCCGCTCTACGTAACCGAAAAAAGCCGCGGAAATTGAGTACCCTTTCAAAGGTCTTTTTTAATAGATTATAAATTCATTTCAAATTAAATATTGAAATTTGAAAAAAGCGTATGAAAATTTGAGTCTTCTTCATGTTGATAATAGATGTTTTTATTATTTAATATTATATCAAGATGAGTTTTAGTCGTTAAAGTTCTTTTGAATAGTGGTGAATTTCCGCCGCTTTTTTCGGTTACGTAGAGCCCCGCCCCCGCAGGAATCAAACCAACCAAAAAGCGATATACTGAAAAAACATTTATACTTTTTTGAATATACAACATTAAATCAATTAATTAACTTTTCTGTTTGTAATAAGTCATAATAAAATGTGATAAGGAGCTTTCCAATCATTTCTTTCTCATCCCTTTTCTTCACATTCAAGAGCATGGATATCAGTGTTTCTTTCCGATACCAAGATATCAAATCACTCTGGTATTTTCAATGTATAGTTTCACCCACCAACCCTACTCTGAAGAGTGGCTCCTCCCCTTTTTTAATCATAAAAGTCCAGTAGATGAACGATACACTTCTCTTGCTCAGAATAAAGTCCCAGAATATTAACATCCTCTCCATAATCACAATATGAGGTATTAAATTTTCCTGTATCATTTTCTACTTTTCTATAAGAACCAATTTTCCGAATCCCAAGAATACCCATTAAAATATTACCATGCCATCCCATTTCAGCGCCATTCATATCTCATCCATGTATACCTCGCAGTATATTATCTATTATCTAAACATTACTATTTTTTTCTTTTTTCTTTTCTGGTTCTCCAATCTTGAATTCTAATCTCAATCTTCCCTCTATATCTACGACCCATCCTGATCATCTCCAAAAGGTCTTTCTCCTCACGAGCAAGTTCCAAATCCACTTTGACACCCAGTTCCACAGTACGTACTCGTACTGCCACACCATCCATACTGAGAACAGCAATTTCCAAACGAGCTTCCCTGGCACGTATACCCATTGCCACACGACGCATCAGTTGAGACTTTCAACGACGATGTTGCAGTAGCTTTTGACGTCGTAGATGAAAATGTTGGTGCAGGTGTAGATGTAGACGTAGCTGAGCCTGCGGTTCCACTACTACCATTGTTTCCGGTGTTATCATCAGCAGCGCCAATACTCTGTGGATTCCAGAACACTTCGTTGGGATCAATGGTTTGTTTAATGGCTAATAATTTGTTGTAGGCAGTTTGTCCGTATCCGAGCATCGCGGCATCGTTTGCACTTAGTTCTGGGTCTACATAGTTGAGATATGCCCCAAAATCGCTAGGTGCACCTGCTGAAAGAGCGCTATTGAGAGAGTCGACGAAGGGTGTTATAGCGTCATCATATGGTGGCAAAGAGTTGGATGTAAAGCCGTAGTTCTTTCAAAAGTTAGTTATGTGTGCAAATACTCGAATTGTCAAGAACGGAAGTCTTACCTGGAAAACCCAATGAGCGTCCCGATCAGAGTATGCCGAAGAGTCAGAAGAAGGCACATTTATCTGACTATCGGCACCTCCATACAAATCGATAATAGTATACCAAGGGGAAGGAGCACTTCTTCCTTGATTCAGAATGTAGGTGAAGTAGCTAGTTAACTGAGCGGAAGTCAACGGCTCTGCATTCTTCGTAACCACAGATTTGGCATAAAATGTGTCGTGAGCAACATATCCAGTTAATGGTTCCTCAAGCTGTCCTCCATTATCTGCACTGACTAAAGCATCTGTCCATCCTAGAGATTTAACACTGCTGGTATCGGCGGTGGGAAAAGCGGACAATATTGCTGGAAAAGTGACGCTCTCAAATTGGGTCTGATCACAGCTCATACACCAGCCACTAAGACTGAACGATCCATAGTTGTCGGTGTAAATACCTAATGTGATATTTTTATTGATTTTGGTAGAGTCGAGAGTAAGTTCTTGAAGTTTGGTGAAGGATGAGACAGCAGTGCTGACACTATCTAGTGTTGCGGGGATACTCGCTGCGAAGGTGAGAACGGACGATGGAGCGGCAAAGGTTTGGAGGTAGAAGGCTGTCGCAATAGCAAATGAATCGGCAGCTCCTCTCATTGCGTAGAAAATATCGGGATAAGATGTGGCCGTCGTGTGGAGTTGTGTTCCATTGGCAAGAACCACATCGAGACCAACGATAGTATCAAGAGCCAGACCCCAGAGTCTAGATGCGTATCCATAACCTCCATGAGTGAAATGTCCACCTATTCCAACCCCTGGACATGTCCCATGCGGAACAGCTCGTTTGCCCTGACTGTAGAGTCCAAGAGCGAGATTTCCTAAACGTACACCTCCTCCAACGGTAGCAATGTTGGTTTCTAGAACATTTTTGATTAGACATCGTTCAGAACGCAGATTCAAGATATCGTTCGAACTTACGAGCATCAACGCTTATAGAATTGAAGCTCTCGAGACTGACGATGAGACTTCCATCTTTACCACCAGTTGAATAGCTAGCATATGAATGCCCGCCTGATTTAGCCTGTACTTTAAGTCCGGCAGCGGCCGCACAAGTGACTGCGTCACTCACATGTTGTGAGGTGGTAGGTAAAGTGACAACAGCTGGGGTATATTGTAACCGAAGATTATAAGGGGAAATGGTCGTAGCCCATGAAGATGAGGAACTATCTTGATATGGAACAGAGTGCTGAGTCAAGCAGTCTTGGATGCTTGAAGCGCGGGTTTCGACTCCAACAAATGGGTATGAAGAAGCCAGCGGGACAACTAACAAGCCAAACATGATCTGGGCCATGACGATTCGAAAGTCATGCTAGAAATCGTGTTAGCAACATGGTCTTTTGACAACGGTACTTCACGTGATTGTGGCAACAAGTCTAAGAATTCTCAAGACTGTTAAGTACGATTTAGTTTGTGCGTGCTTACAATTTGTGGATTCGTCCGATACATTGCGAATTTGCGATTTCTGGTGGGGAGAGATGGCTAGTCAGGTAAAAAACCAAGAGGAAAAAAGTCCGGATCAGGAGTGATGTCAAACTTGAACAATGAAGGGAAATATGAGCTTTTAAGAACACCGCATCTTGGCTCTCCTGAAAGTTCGTGATTCAAGTCACTTCGATGCCGAACCATGGTACTCCATACCGTCGAAATAGGAGAAATTGTGGATGGCTTCAATATTTGATTGAGATTTTTGTTGATCGCCATCTGCCAAGGCCCGCCGACAGGGACTGAGCACTTGCAGCAGCGGCCAAAAAATAAAAATAGGCATAAATATGTAAGGAGTTGGGTGTGTTTACGGGTTCCCTCGAGGTTCCATTGTGTTGCTCTCGGAACAATTTGGCCAAAGCTGCGGTGAATCACTGTTGATGACAGGCATTGACACATGCGGATATCCACAAAATATCTTGTACCATAAAGCAAATACGAACTGCAGCCTACTAAGCTACTCTCAGCGGTGTACGCCACCCATTCATGCCATTTCCATATAATTTGATAAGTTCCATTCAGAACTCTTCCAAACGCCTTGTCCAAACGATATTATCGTTGTCATACGCATTCCATGTCTCCTGTCATGTCGTACATATTCGTAAAGCTTCGTTGATCGAAGCCCAAGGTCAATCAATTACTTTCCCTCGGGTTTGGGATCCCATCTCCACTTCTGCTATGGTATTGCTTTCTCAAAAATTGTTCAATTGGCACATCGTGTTGTGGCCGAACTGGGGGTGCTTCATTGCCCTTCACCGTCGTGTCCTCTGGTCCTTGTTCCAAAGTTGACTTTTGTAATGCGCTTATACCTGGTATCCACGAAAATGCTTTCATCATTAGCGGTCTGCTGTTGGGATTTTATGGTTCAGCATGATCAGCAATGCTGAATTGTTTGCCTACCTTTCTCTGTCAGGCTTTCTTCCTCCTTTTCTGGTTGCCCCCCACAAGCAGCTTGATTCAATTTATCTTTAAAATCGCCCTTCCTAAACTTGTTCCCATGTGCATCTTTTCCAACCATGTTCTTGTCTTGGTCAGGATCATAAACGCCATCTTTAGACATCGCAGATACACTGTTGGCTACAGTCTCGTATGCGGAAGAAGCTGTATTCTTCAATTGATCGATGGTCGAGGGTTGAGATGACATGTTGGAGAAGTCTGTGGTCAGTCAGTCAGTCAGCCCTCAACAAGATATGAAATCACCAATAAGAGGATTCTTTGGTGGAAGGAGTGCCAACCGAGTCAATTGAGGGCTGGCAAATGCTGTGAGAACCAGCCAACACGCGTAGATGTGAGTATTGAAGATAAAAGTTGTATAATGGATCAAGAAAACGAACGAGCTTGGGATTGAAGATAATCGTTATCGATGTGATTGTATGGTTATCGCTTGTAACGTAACGTAACGTAACGTATAAATAACATAACGTCCTTTGTCCTCGTACCTGACAGAGAACATCACCAAGTTATCCGCTTGACGTCAGTGAGAGAGAAACAGCCAAGCAATTGCTTTGAGGTGTCATCTTCCGATTATCCGTCGGAGGCATATTAAATCTTGAGAAAGTTGGATAGAAAATCGAATCAATTAATCATAATAATCAAGCTGCCGCAACAAAGCTCAAAATAGTATCAATCCATTCTTATATTGTCAGCCCTATAGGTTATTCTTCCACATGGCCCACCTACTGACCATAAGTACCGGTGACAGCCCCTTTCGGTCTCTACCCGGATCAACTTAATCGCCGCTATTTGTATGTTCATTCCGATCTTTGAATTTTGTGAAGAGAATAACAAGAATGAAGGATAAGAAGATTCTATGAAGATCAGGAACAACCTGGAACCTTGGAATTTACCCATCTGATCCAGGAATAGGAATTGAACATCAGTCTCAACCCTTTTACTCCATATATAGGATCTTACATAACCTCACAACCTTAAATACGGGTAGGTGATTGGTATTTCCCATCTTAGACCAACCGCGCTTGGTTCTGTGCGACACGATGCACTTGCTCGCATTGTCGATGAGAGTAGAGTGAGTGAGTGAGTATACCGGTACTCGATACTCGATACTCCATTCAAGCTTCATATATGATTCATTTGTTCGATGTTTTCAATGAACAGTAAGCAGCTATCTATCAATTAAGGTTAACATCTCAAATAAACCTAAATAGATCATCACCCGAAAGAGGAACGTTAAAGCATTGTTGAATTGTTCTTCGGACTTTACTGCTTCTGCCGAAATCCCCGATTTGGTTTTAGCTACAGTACTCATTTTTCATCAACGGCTACATTCTGGACATGTTTGTATTAATACCAGGTGCTGGACCCATCTTGTGACATACATATATATAAGAGCTTATTGGGGATTCGCAAGGAAACAGAGCAGAGTGATACATATTCGGGGATCTACATCGCACCCACACCGAGGTTCCCCATTAACGGCAAGCATTAATTCCAGACTCGAGAGTGGACTGATGATAACTCTGTAACCATAACGATGGATAATGATGTCACAAGACCCGATAAAATGTTCAGTTCCTCTCGTCGCTCTCATCGGAAAACGAGGACGGGGTGCAATAATTGTAAGAGGAGAAAGATTAAGGTTAGTGAAAGCTGCCGTTTGACTGATCCGTTGTACACCCTACTAGTCAAGCCGGCAAGAGTACACACATAGGTAAGTTCCAAGTCTTCATTTCATATTCTATAAAACATTCCATTTGACATTGTGTATCTTTAGTGTCAATTTCTTGTTGCCCTCACTCGAGTGTTGATAGGCCTCAGTTCAACAGTGGCTAACTCATCGATTAGTGTGGCGAAGGAAAACCTAGCTGCTTGAATTGTATCAAGCATTCAGTACAATGTGATTATTCAAAAGCGGATGCAGCAACTTCAGCGAAGAATACGCCACTCTCCTCTCCCGGATCATCAACTTCAGTTTCAGCTCCAAATAATGTGCTGGGTCGAACTGTCGAGGGCCAAGACCCATATCTGAATCTTATGGATTTGGAGGTCTTCAACAACTTTTGCGTATCAACAAGCAACTCACTGAACTCCAATTCTGTGGTGAGAAACATATATCACACCACGATTGTCCAGATTGCATTTCAGCACGAATTTGTCATGCGTGCGCTACTCGCTCTGTCAGCCCTGCACATGGCTCGCAATAGGCCTGATCAGAGCGAACGACTCTATGAGTATTCCAAGCAGCAACATGAGGCGGCACTCCGTCAAGGCACTGCCTTTATTCCTCATATTACCACTGAGACCTGTGCAGCGCTTCATGTCTTCTCGATATTCACCGGTATGCACACATTAGGTCGACCGCGCAGCGTTGATGAATTTGTAATTGTCGGCGAAAATGGAATTACGTCATGGCTTGTGCTATTTCGAGGCGTAACTGCAATTATCGATCAATTCAAAGACGCACTTTTAACAGGGCCTTTGGCTATCTTGTTCAAAGCCAGAGAAGAAAGAGTCATGTTGCGTCAAACATACGCAGATGATGAGGTTGAACATCTCAGTCACCTAAGAATTGCAATTGAAACCACAGTACCCGATGAGCATGAAGTACAAATGTACACCGAAGCTATCCGCGGCTTGGAACTATCGTATAAATTCATGTACAAGTGTCCAGCCGAGCAATACGAGACGGGGGACATTTTCATCTGGCTTTTCCGTGTTCCTGATGAGTACTTGAGTCGTCTGAATGATGGTACTCAAGAGGCATTAGCCATTCTCGCGTATTCAGTGGTGTGCTTTAAGAAGTTGGAAAATCTCTGGTGGATAGAAGGATGGAGCAATCATTTGATGGCCAACATCTATCAGTTTTTGGATGAAGAACACAGACAATGGGTCCAGGCACCTATTGATGAGATTGGTTGGGTCCCATATCAATGATCAGAAACTGTTAGATTCACCAATTCTGAGGGTTTTCTGGGCTCGGTTAGGATGAGAACAAATCAAAGTTGAGAATCATCTCTTTCCTTTTTTTATTGATTGTTTTCAGAGAGATGTATTGTATTTCGAATATAGCAACTTGTAAATTCTTCTCTAAATTTTGCTCAAGATTCAAAATTCCAACTTCAAGTTGCATTGGGCGAGCTTTCTACTTCCTTGTGTAAGGCAAGGCAGGCTTCTCTTCAAATTTGCGTTTCACTTTTGTTTGTTCAGGAATAATCTAAACATTGCTCTCATCTATATTCTCCATTATGGGTTGTACCTTCATAAATTCATTATATTCACTTCAGCTTTTAAATATGTACAATAGAATCATCAAAGCTCTCGATTGTGCCCATTCCAATCTTCAAAATGGCATCTCCCCCTTCAATCATTTCTCCTTCTCTTCGCTCCACCTAGTAAGTATCATTACTGGTATAGTTTTCCCTAGCAGCGAATTGCAACACGCCAGCCCCAACATCGAAAACGGTGACGACGTTCTTCTGGAAGGTATCGCCCAAGATATACAAATCATTGGCAGTATCACTTCCACCATCGTTAATACCGCTAATGCAAACGTCGTTTCCATCATCATCAGTACCAGCGTGGAGAATCATATCGAGAGGGTTAGTATAGAAGACTGTACCACCAATCTCGATACCAAACACAGGTGGAACAGCAGTACAAGAAACGACATATGAGCCCTGATCATTGCTGTACACGGCAGCCGGAACGAAAGCCTTGTTAATAGCATTGGCCATCGTGGTAGGGAGGTAATTAAGCGTGGTTCCCGAATCGACAATGTATTGAGGAGTTGCGGCGCCGGAAATGGCTTTTCCGTTCAGATACGCGGCTTCGATTTTAATGGTGTAGAAATCGTATGTTTTAGGGTATCCAGTGATGGATGTTACAAGGATGGGGGTGCTGGCGAAATCTTGTACGAAATCAACGGGGGGAACACCGCCGAGAGCGAGGTAGCCGGCGGGGCCGGAGACGTCGCGCTCGATGGCGAGACTGAAGAGGGAGTCGACGAGTCCTTCTTCGTACATGGTGGTGAAGATGGGGTTGTAGACTACTTGGGTGGAACCTTTGTAGGCGGATGTGCTGATGGGGTGTTAGTATGAGCTTTTTCCCTTATACTGTTCAATGTTTGTTGGGGAAAACTTACATTCCGGGATACGCCAAACCGACCAAACCACTAGTAGTTCCGTCACCGTTCCATGCAGCAGATGTGACCAAAGCGACAGTGGTGGTTACATTGATACCGGCAAAAGTCACGGGCTGCGATCCAAGCACACCAGTGAGATACTCTCCATCGCCATATGTAATGGAAAATTCTTGACCCGAGATAGCTTTGAAGGTAGAGTCTTTTGTGTAGGTTGGGCCAAATGCACAGGTGGCTTCCGAGACACTCTTTCCGGTATCGATATCAAGACAAGAAAATCCAGTCTCGGCTAACCAAGTATCACTAGATCCAGTATCGACACTAAATAGGAAAAGAAAAGTCAGTCTATGATCTCTTCCAATCACCGAGTTAAATATTTCCGGAAAAGCACTCACACAACCTCGAAAGTCTGTGTTCCAAAAGTAATATCCGTAGCATATTCCTCTCCCTCAAATAAACTGATAAGAGCAGTTGAGCTTCCATTAACAATATCCAAATTCTTCAAGAATTTAACTGCGCTTCTGACTTTAGAGCCTCCGGTAGATTTCTTGGTAAGTTCCAGGACATTGTCTGTGACGACTGGAATACTTCTTGGTCTAGAAGGAACGACACTACGAACAGAGATCTTTGAGTTTGGAGCGCGGGGAAGTGAGCGAGCGGATGTAAGGGAGAGGAGAGAAAGAGCGGTAAGGGTGGAGAGGACGGGGAAATACATCTTGAAGGGGAGATAGAAAAGAAGCTGGCACTTTAAAGAATGCTACAGGAAAAAGAGAAGAGGGAAAAAGCTAAGAGAGGCAGAGGCTTCTTCATATACTCCTTCCTCACAACGCGCGCATATCTGCAAATGATAGCATCATACATGCACCACTCTTTCGTTATCAGATTAATACCACATTCCCCTGCAAAATTCTCTTCACATGCACGGTGCCGATCCAAAAAGGCAGTTGAAGAACGATATCTGCTTATTGCAGATATAGTAGTTTCCTATCAGAGATACCATGATCCGCTGCAAGGCACATTAGCACCGACGCCCCTCCCTCAAATCCCGATATCGTGATTCTTCGGCATTGAGACGACGCATCTCACCAACGATTGGTGGATAAAGAGCCAAGAGAAACAATCACAAATCCAGGAACAGAGTAGTATTGCGGAGAAAGACAGCTCGCAGGTACTGTCACTGAATCACTTACAAATAACATACTAGCAAGACTGGAGGTGTGCAAGACGAATAGAAATCCAGATAAGTATCTGTAATCCCCGCAGCAATCATTGGCACGATTGTTGGCGCGTAGAAGTGGGAGTGGATGGCGAGGATGGGATCATCCGAAATCCGTCCTTATCACGCGCAAAAGGGAAGGAGATACGCGGTCTGTAGTTTTACAGGGGGGTGGTGCTTTCACGCTTTTGTGGAGAGTTTTGCCGACCCGGGCCGTCGTATTATGCACAGGGGAGGGGGGGAAAGATGATTGCTAATTGCCAAAACAGCTGGAATTGTGTGATGTTAGAGGGCTCTGAATGGTGTTTTGAAGAAGAATTATGTGGTTATGATATGGTATTTACTAGTCAATTTGGCCGATGATTAGTTGTTTATGTTCTGATACACAGTATACCCGATGTTTAACCTGATATATGATCTGACGATACGACTAGGGCTACAATACCTGACTTGTGGTTAATTGTTAGTTGTCGATGCATAAAAGTCTCTTATAGAACTATCTTTGACTACCTAGGTATAACAGTCAATGTCATGTCATCTCATACCTGCTGGAATGCTATTGTTTGAATTAATCAATCCATGGTCACCGAATTCACTTCATCATCAAGGGGAAACTTACCATATGGGTTTTTATAGAATTCATTGAATTCGGCGCTCTGAATAGCAAGGAGAAAATCAAGAACTCCTACTTGAGACATCAAGTAAGTCAATTAAATTAGTTTTGTTTTCTGCTAACGCAGTTTCGATCTCATCTTTACTCGCCCCTCTCTTATCACTAATGTCCACTTGAACATAATTATAGCACACCGAAAACGAAAGAAAAGAAGGAAACATCGGAACCACATGAGAAATTGAAAAGAGAAATATTAGAAAAGAAAGATAGTTGATTGTTTTTGTGGGGGTTTGGGAATTTTGTGTTTGTTTTTGGGTTTTCTTGCAAAAATCAAATGCAAAACTCCTATCGCATCCCATATTGTACTACAAATGAAAGATGGAAGATATTACCATTGTGTTGGATCCGTGGATCTTGATACTACGATTCTCGAGGTAGAAAACTGAGTTACAAATGAAAGATGGAAGAAATTACCATTGTGTTAGACTGACTGGTGGTGGAGTCTGGAATCGGAGTTCTCATGGAGAACCGGCAATGTTGACTTTGAACCAACCATTCAATCTGCGATCCGTTCTCGATCCAACCTTGACTTGTTGGACTTGTTGAGTTCCGATCTTGCTAAACAATTTCCATTGTTTGAAGTTGAGACGGTAGAACTGGCAAGCATTGGTGAGCTGGGTGAAGTTTTCGTCCGGCATGCGAAAGACTACTTCGCAGCGACCAAGACGGGGGAACTGGTTGATGGCTGTTACGAGATTGAAGAAGACGTGGCCATGGTTGGACTTTTGGACGTCGAAACGGTACTCGGGAAGTGTAACTGAGACCAAGCAGGTCTTAGTAAATACCGAGTAGAGTTGGACGATGCGATGGAAGTCCTGGACCTGGGTGTCTGTGGGATAATTCTTCTGGGCAAGATTGATGGAGAGTGCGAGAGTTTCACCTCCGAAGGTGACCCAAGGGTGGTTGGGGATTTGTCCGGGGGCGAGTGTCGAGGTGGATGGGGAAGCTGGAGCGACTCGATCGTCTCGGATGAGACGTGCTCTGAGATCTGGTGTGGCTGGCATCTTGCTTGTTGAGTGGTTGCGAGTAGGATCTGGTAGACGATTCTGGTTGTTGCTTGAAAGTCTTGCTTGAAAGTCTTGAGTGAATTGTCTGTAGATGATGCTCGAGGAGTGGATGAGTGGATGGGGAATTGAATGATAGGGGAAGAGACGAGCCTTTAAATAGTGGGTTAGGAGGTGCTGTTTCAATCCTGTTTTGATACCTGAACAACAAGCGCAATGCGAAAGTAACATCAATGTTTAATCTAGCAATGTTTCCGTACATTCCTGAGGTCCAAAATGTTGTTCAAGCATTGAACAGAAGAATTGTGGCCACACACTTAGGCTAGCCCGCCAGGTCATCCCATCCATTGGACTAAGTAATAAATTGGAGACTTCTTTCAAATCGACAATAGAAGCCTCTTTGTGTGCACTGTGAACAACCACTGGTTGTTGGTAGAGGTCGTTAGGCTGCGATCTCAGGTGCGAGTGATGCGAATCATTTCTCATGTTCAGAGGTGTATCATTTGGTTGAGCGAGACTTCTCGCAGCTCCGACAGTATTTACATGAACAAAAAAGGTCATTCATAACCAGCAAGGTATACTACCTAAGTTTACAGCAATTGTTTTAGGGATTTGTAAAGCATAGACTTGAGTGCCGGTGCCTCTGTTAGTCTATAATCTATTTTAGTACTGCAAAAAAAGCTTGTGTATTACGCGAAAGATTCTGTTATCAGGTTATTGAGGAACAATCCTTTCAATGTGACGAGGAATGGAACAAGGACGAATCTTCTTTGTGCACTCGAGTAAGAATAATGATGTTTGTTTTCCCTCACAAAGGGACGTGTAGAAAGTATTGAGAAAATTGACAGAACACAATGTCAACCAGTTCGCTCAAAATTAATTGTTCCTGCGCGCTAGCGATGCTGACTATTTAGTTGTTCTTCTGCTAGTACATATACATGTGTGTAAAGAGGGTCTCCCAGTTTCGATGTCAGATTAGTCGCAAAAGAAGTACTTCGCTAGTTTATTTGCACAAACAAAGACAACCACGCATCGTGAAATGGATGTCAAGACCGTAATACAAAATTGTGTAACTGACGGGCCTTGCTACTATTCTCAGTGTACGCCATTCGCAGCCGCCATTCCATTCAAGGCTGGAGGTGGTGGTGGTACAGGTCCAAAGGGTCTTGGAGGCACAGGGTGAACATCTTCCTCTGTATCGTCGTCATATTCTCCCTCGCTTCCTTCGTCATCGCCCTCTTCGTACTCGTACTCGCTCTCCGTGCCTTCCAAATCACCTTCAGCATACTCTCCTTCCACGGTTCCTGCCATGCCCTGGGTAAGACCTCGTCCTTGCCTCTGCATCTGATCAATGATATCTCTCAACTTTTCATTTCTCGTCTTTAATGCCTCAATTTCATGGGAACTCTTGGTGCGCTCCTCGGCCATCGTAAGTATGTTCTTATTGGTAGCTTCGTGCTTTCGAGTCAAAGCCATGTTTTCCTTTTCGAGACGTTTAGTCTTTTTCGACATTTCTTCCATTTCCTTGCGAAACGTTAGAAATAAGTCATTGCTGTTGTTGAGCGTATCTTCCACCTGGCGGGCAATTAGCTCTAGGCATCCAATAGCAGAAAAAAAAACGAATATCAAATGTAGAAAAGTAGGTCCTACCTGCTTGAACTTCTCCACGTAAATGTTCAACTGGTTTCGTAACTCGGTTTCGGTTTTAGAAAAGGTTAGAACCTGCTGATTCAACTGTTTTGCCCGGTTTACCTCCTGCTCGGCAGCTCTACGTTCACGCTCGAACCTAGCAAGATTATACTGAACTTCAAGCTCCTTTGTACGCAGAAGAGAATGGAAATGGAGCTCCCGTAATTCGTACTGATCAATCAATGACTTGAACTTTGCTTTAAAACTGAAGGGCATTAGTGCTTGGACTAGCGTTAACATAGAGGAACTTACAGCTCATCAAGTTCAGGATTGATAACCACAGTTTTTGGATTATCCTTTGTATGCTGGTAGTCCTGGAACTGCCACAGAATTTCACTACACTTCTGATCCCATTCTTCCTTGGCAATCTTTTCATTATCTTGTAGAGTTTTGTTTTCACCCTAACCCCGCTTAGCATCTGTAAAATCGCATGCACCCAACAGAATGCGCACCTTGAGTCTATTGTTCTCTTTCTGTAATTCTCTGCAGAGTTTCTCCAGCTTCTCTCGGAGGACGACGGCTTTGCCAAGGTCGGTTCTCGCGACGTCTTTCTCCTTCTGCAGCACATCACCACGCTTCTTATTTTTCTGATTATCTCGCTCCAGTCGTTTCATGTCCGCAAGGTGTTCCGTGACCCTCTTTTGGAGTGTCTCGATTTTTTGAAGATCGTCCATTTTGGATATTGAGGAATTCAGTTCTCGATTCGCTTTTTTGACTTCGCGTTCTTGATAGCACAATACGTTAGCAATTTTTTCAAGCAGGTCTCGATCTCCCATTGCCCCTCCACCTGCACTCGCGGGGGACTTCAGAAGGAGCATATCAGCCCTGTGGTCTCTCCAAATTGAAGAAATGAGAGCAGGGGCATTTCGATCTATCATAGAACCCCCTCCAAAAAGGACACCCCTCATTCTTGAATCGACCACACTTAATAATTCAGTTCTGAAGCGAAGCGCTTACCCCTCTCCTTCCACCGCGACGCACTTCGAGCAGACAATGCACACGACAGCGAAAATCTGGTGCAGCATGCAAATCGGTAATAGGGAGGGAGTTTCTAGAATGGACAAAACGAACCAATCTCTGCCTCTTGATCCTTCTCTCCAGCTGCATCTAGTTCCAGTTGCGAGATCTTGGCCGCAATAAGTTTCGAGGCTTCACTCGGATCTGTCCCCTTCTTCTGTTTTCCCTTCTTAACTCCAGCATCGTTATGGTGATGATGTCCATTGGGATAATCGGCATGGGTATGGTTCGCATTCATAGAGGTGGTTCTTGAATTCGTAGGGCCAGGTGCGTAAGTGGGATTTGCCCCAGTCGACATTGTTAAAATTCAAGTGTGAGTATCTGGGTACTTATCGTTTATGTGCGACGACTAGTTTTGTCGCAATTCGATTTTCTGAATTTTCATGTATTGCCTCTCTGCACGTTGACGTTCTTTCTCAAAATAAGATATTACGAGGTTGACTGTATCCAAGCTAGTGTGGCCCGAGCCGGACAATCGGGCAATCAAAAACACGAAAATTCACTGAAGCGAACCTTCCAATGGTGAAATCAGTAATCATCTTACTTTGCGCCTCACCATATTAATTCAACCTCGTTCCTTCCCTTCCTTCCATCGTCCTTTCATTACCTCTCTCACACTTTTTTTGTGTCTTTGATGACATATTGATACAAGAAATATGTTACGACAAGCTGCAAAGAAAGGTGTGACGGAACTCGCCCAATATCCAAAGCCAGGTGAAAAGCTTCATGGATTTACGCTCTTGAGATCAAAACATGTTCAAGAACTTGAGTTGACAGCACTTCATTTGAAGCATGATAAGACGGGCGCAGACTATTTACATGTTGCTAGAGAAGATAAGAATAATGTCTTCTCTATTGGATTCAAGACAAATCCTCCAGATGATACTGGAGTCCCTCATATATTGGAACATACAACATTATGTGGAAGCAAAAAGTAAATTGTCTTCCTTTCTATTATTATCCATATTACATTGGATCGCGCTGAATCGTTTGTAGGTATCCCATTCGTGACCCATTCTTCAAAATGCTACCCAGAACATTGTCAAATTTCATGAATGCATTCACGGCGTCTTCTCACACATTCTATCCTTTCGCCACCACCAATGAACAAGATTTCAAAAATCTCATGTCTGTTTACCTTGATGCAACATTGCATCCACTATTGAAACAGAGCGACTTTACACAAGAGGGATGGAGAATAGGGCCCGAGAACCCACGAGTGGCAATCGAGGGAGACGCTGCCAACCCTGAAGATAGCAAATTGGTGTTCAAAGGTGTTGTGTACAATGAGATGAAGGGACAGATGTCGGACGCTGGATATCTTTACTACATCAGGTTTCAAGACCACATTTTCCCTGCCATCAACAACTCGGGAGGTGATCCACAAAAGATGACCGAGTTGACATATGAGCAATTAAAGAAGTTCCACGCCGAGCATTACCATCCAAGCAATGCTAAAGTTTTTACATACGGCGATATGCCTTTGGCAGATCATCTTGTAGAGGTCAATGCTCAACTGAATGCTTTTGAGCGCATTAATGGAGAAATGGAAGTACTAAAGCCTATCGATTTATCATCTGGTCCACAGACTATCACAGTTCCAGGACCTATCGACCCATTGGTAGATGCAGATATGCAATTCAAGACCTCAACTTCATGGCTGGTAGGTGATGCTACGGATGTTTTAGAGACTTTCTCACTTTCAATAATGTTTGCTCTACTCATGGATGGATATGGATCTCCACTCTATAGAAACTTAATTGAAGCTGGCTTGGGAACCGAATGGAGTCCAAATAGCGGCTATGACCCTTCTGGAAAAGTCGGAATATTCTCTGTTGGGTTAACCGGCGTTAAAGAAGCCGATGTACCAAAAGTTAAGGAAGCAATCCACAAGACTTTCCAAGAAGCACATAAAAATGGATTTGAGAAATCGAAAATCGATGGCTACCTACATCAATTGGAGTTTAGCTTGAAGCATAAAACTGCTAAGTTTGGTATGTCATTGATGCAAAGAATTAAACCTAAGTGGTTTGAGGGTGTTGATCCTTTTGAAGCGCTAGCTTGGAACGACACTGTTGCTGCATTTCAAAAAGAGTTCGAGAAGGGTGGTTATTTGGAGGGATTATTGGAGAAGTACTTACTAAATGACAATACACTCACTTTCACAATGGCTCCTTCAACAACTTATGGAGATGAGCTTGTAGCCGAAGAAGCCACACGTCTCGCAAAGAAGATCGCAGAGGTCACTGAGAAGGCTGGCGGTGAAGCTGAAGCTCGTGCCCAGTTAGAAAAGAGGGAATTAGAGCTTTTGGAAGAGCAAGGAAAATCTAACACTCAGGATCTCAGCTGTCTCCCAACTGTTCATGTTAAGGACATCCCAAGACAAGACGAGAAAATAGAATTAAGGGATTCCAGGGTTGAAAATGTCAATGTACAATGGCGAGAAGCACCCACAAACGGACTGACCTACTTCAGAGCCCTTAACACTATCGAAAATCTACCCGAGGAACTGCGAACATACATTCCTTTATTCACAGATTCTATAATGCGTCTTGGGACAAAGGACATGACTATGGAGCAGTTAGAAGACTTGATGAAGCTTAAGACTGGAGAAATTGGTGTCGGCTATTATGCTTCCTCGTCTCCCACAGATTTCAAGTCGGCATCCGAGGGCTTGAGCTTTTCCGGGACTGCTTTAGATCGAAACGTGCCTGAGATGTTCGGGTTATTGCGAAAACTAGTTCTTGAAACTGATTTTGATAGCCCTGATGCCGAAGTCCGCATCCGTCAGCTTTTGCAGGGCTCGGCAGACGGTGCAGTTAACAACATCGCTTCATCTGGGCATGCATTTGCCAGACGCTATGCTGAAGCTGGCGTAACACAATACGGGCGTTTGAAGGAACAAGTGGTAGGATTATCTCAAGTCAAGCTCACCACCTCACTTGCCTCGAGACCCGAGGCCGAAGGACTAGCCGATGTTATTGATAAACTCAAGACGATTCAGCGACTCGCATTCTCTGGGTCTTCCACCTTTAGGACTGCCCTCACCTGTGGTAGTGAAAGTGTCACAAACAACGAAGCCGCGCTTCAGCAATTTCTATCATCAATCCCAAGGTCTGAATTGCCATCTCGCCTAGTACCTCCCCCAGATTTTACAAGAAACACCAAGACGTTCTTTCCTCTGCCATATCAAGTATACTATGGTGGCCTTGCTCTCCCGACGGTATCTTATACCTCTCCAGCTGGAGCACCTCTTCAGATACTCTCTCAGCTCTTGACTCATAAACATTTGCATCATGAGATTAGAGAGAAAGGCGGAGCTTATGGCGGAGGAGCTTACTCGCGGGGACTTGATGGCATCTTTGGATTCTACTCTTATCGTGATCCAAATCCTTTAAACACGATGTCGATCATGCGCAACGCTGGTAAATGGGCAGTCCAAAAGGAATGGACCGAACGCGATCTCGAAGAAGCCAAGTTGTCTGTATTCCAAAGTGTCGATGCACCTCAATCGGTCAGTCAGGAGGGCATGACCAGGTTCGTATCTGGGGTTTCGGAAGAGATGGTTCAAGAGCGACGTGAGCGTTTATTGGATGTGACCAAGGAGCAAGTCCAGACCGTTGCGCAAAAATACCTCGTTGATGCATTAGAAAACGGCCAAGGTAATATGGTTTTCCTTGGAGAGCAAAAACCATGGGTAGATGGAACTTGGGAAACAAAGAATTTGGGACTTGCCCAAGAGCAACCTGAGGTCATGGATGAGGAAGATGTCAAGGACGCTGCTTTCGGATCATAGAACCCGCAGTTCTGTGACATACTGTATTCCACTCAACTGCGTATACTGGCGTTTGGGATGTACAATATTAATGATTAAATGGTATGTATGATAGGTAAAGACAAAGATCAGCGATGTCCATGACAGGTATCTGATTAGCACGTAATGAGCAATGACATATAACCTTTCGACATCATGACTCTTTCGAACGAACCAAGTCAACATTATGACGATGCACCTTGGTAGGCATGTTATTTCCTCTTTTCTTTAATTTTCAATTCTTTCTTCGCGCTACGAACAGATTATCACGTCTGCAGTCCTATTTCGATGGCTGTTAGATCACAAGTCACGTCTTCCTCTGAGAAGACTAGCGCAATAGCAACATTTAGTGTATAACCAGGCATATATATATGTCGTGAGTTGTCGCTTTATGGTTCCATCTTATTTCAGAGCTGTGGTCCCGGAGGCATGGGATGGCGGACTAAAGATGTGAGGACATACCGGAGCCATGTACTGTAGAAAGTAAATGAGGGGAGGTTATTGGCTACCTGATAGGATCTGGGTTGTGTGTGTGTGGTATTACATGAGGGATATTTGGATATTTGGAAGGTTGTTGGCGGCTCATAAAGGGGTCAAAGAGGGGTTAAAAAATGGTGGAGGTGAACGTTTGCAGCCAGCCATACTACAACCACCGAAGCACACTAAAACTTATTGAGCAGGTAAATCTTTTAAGTATTCGGCGTGAAACAGTTTGGACTAATGCGATATAAAATACCGGTAGTTGATCTGGGGCATCTCGGAAGTTTATAGCCGTTCATATAGTACGGAGTAGATGGTCGACTGTATTTTTAGTAACGATAGTCTTCATATTACCGATTTACTTTTAAAACACTAGGTAAGTTAACCGACTCTGCATATAAAATAGCCTAATCTGAGACAAATGTTGCTGACCGACTCGAGTCTTTTGTTATCTAAACCTCGCTAACGTAGGTACTCAAGTATTTGGTCATTTTATTATTGTTGGAATTGGCACCCGCCGCCCGCTCCACGCAGCCCACGAATAAGAAGAGCGAGTCATGAAAAATATTGGGGAATTTATTAATTTATCACCAGGTATTGGAATTTACCTCTTGTACGTCATCCAGTCAAAAGATTCAAATTTCCAAGACGTGCCTGAAGATCGCGGTAAAAATTGGAATTTGGGCAGAGTCGTAGAACTTCATCGATACCTGGCGTCGTCTCCGTAACTAATGACTACTTCGTATTCATCCTAAATCAAATATGCACAGGATGGTGAGGAATTAAATGAGATGTAAATTAAATTCTATCGACGTGTATCTAATCCCTCTCTCTGTATATGTATGTGCATATGTGTGATATAAAAATAAGTTGGGAAACTGTGAGAATCGGGAGAAATCATCAAAGAGGTGTGAGGTATTTTTTATTGGAAAGGAGTGGGTCGGCTAAAACTTTAGTCTAATACAAATTTTTAAACAGCCAAATCTGAGGACAAGCGTCAAGCTCACCCACGAAAAAGCTCCAAAGAAGCCAGTCTAGCCACCAACCTTCATAACCTACTCAGTACATAACACAGAGAGTGGAATATACTGGCCACTTGCTGTGCTGAATCCTATCCATTTGTTTAACTTCACCGTCTTCAATCATCCAAAACACCTGCACGATATAGTCTTTGTCTGGACTATATTGAGAAAATCCTTTCCGGGTGAGTACATGAACATAATCTTTACCCCGCCGATGAAAAATCTGTTCCTTCGCAGGGCAGTGCTATCGTCGTCCTTCATCGTATCTGTTTTGTCATCTTCCTCTGGTGCGAGGATCAGAGCGATTTTTAAACGCCTCACGCATGTCACTTGGACGTGGAGATGCGGCATTTCAAGACACTGTTGCTAATACCTCACTCGCAGATCTTCTAACCACGAAGAATCTAAAATTCCCTCTCGACTGCCTTTGGTCTAATCAAAGGCGAAACATCCAGCACGGCTCCAACGGCCGCGATACTAGTTTCTGATCAAGATTACTCCGAACGTCCTAACCGGCACATCATCAACACCACACCACCTCCTTTTGCTGCACTTTAATCAGCTTGAGCGTTTGTTTTACGAGTTGTTTAACAACACCCCGTCTTCGTCCGAAACTCCTCAGCTGCCGCATAGGACGAGTTTAAAGGGCCTTCCTCTCGCAGAGGAAGAGTCGAGCCGACCTCGCCAGATCAGCACAGGATCTGATCGTTATAGACCACCTTAACATACCCTTGGGCTTTCAAAGTACAAGTATGTTTGATCACCTACTGGCATTGCTTGGCTACATTTTGACACTTTCTTGGCCATACTGACATTCACTAGTAAACAAATCACAACTATATCAAACAATCCTTGGTCAAATACGAGGATATGTCACCTTCCGCCATTATTACCTACGAAAACAATAACAATCTTGATAGTATCGAATCATACTATCCCAAAGATTCTTATGTTGAACTCAATGGCGTGAATACCGCAAAAACTATAATTGGAAATGCTTTAAAGCAAAGGGTGGAAAATATTGATAATGATGTCTGCGAGGCAGATGACGAAGATGCGTTCTTCGTCGCTGATCTAGGCGAGGTTTACAGACAGCACATGAGGTGGAAGAAGAATTTACCCAGAGTCAAACCGTTTTATGGTCAGTCTTGCATACCATACCTACTCACGTGTCAGATTCAAATTTTCTAACTTCAGAACAGCGGTCAAATGCAACCCAGACCCACAAATCATTCGTCTCTTGGCAGAACTTGGCACAGGATTTGATTGTGCTTCCAAGGGCGAGATAGAGCAAGTCCTCAAGGCTGGCATCGACCCTGCTCGTATTATTTATGCTCAACCATGCAAGACGAACTCCTACGTTCGGTATGCTGAGAAGCAAGGAGTCAAGCAAATGACATTCGACAACAGCGATGAGTTATACAAGATTAAGAAATTGTTCCCAGGAGCCGAACTGTTTCTCCGGATCTCTACCGATGACTCCTCGAGCTTGTGCCGATTGAGCTTGAAATTTGGAGCAGCCATGGATGCAACAAGCAACCTTCTTGCTCTAGCCAGAGAACTTGACCTCAATGTTGTTGGCGTTAGCTTTCATGTAGGATCCGGTGCCTCTGACCCTCTTGCATTCAGGAAGGCAGTTCAGGATGCTCACACCGTCTTCGAACAAGCTCGCACATATGGCTACTACATGCATACCCTCGACGTCGGTGGAGGTTTCTGTACTGAGACATTTGAAGTAATGGCTTCCGCACTTAGTGATGCCCTCGAGGAATATATGCCAAAACACATCAAAATTATCGGAGAACCTGGACGTTACTATGTTGCCAATGCTTTCACGCTCGCTTGTAACGTCATTGCACGCCGAACTGTCGAAGATCCAGAAACCTTGGAAAAGAGCTACATGCTTTACCTAAATGATGGTCTTTATGGCAATTTCTCTAGCATCATGTTTGATCATCAAAACCCAATTGCTCATGTCCTTCGAACTGGCAACCGCTCTTACTTTGACACTCTGGCAAGTCAAGCAACCCTCGAAGGCACCGAGTACTCGATCTGGGGTCCAACTTGCGACGGTATTGATCGTATTTCTGCAAGCATTCGCTTCGATCACAATCTTGACGTTGGAGACTGGCTCTATTTTGAGAGTATGGGCGCATACACCAAGTGCTCTGCAACGAGATTCAACGGCTTCACAGACAGCCATGATGTTATCTATGTTTCTAGTGAGCCGGGAGTCAATGCCCTACTTGAAATGTGAAAACTTTCAGGTAGTCGCTATCTTTTTACACGTGGTTTATGAATGATGATTGGTGGTAGAAAAGAAGGAGAAGGAGGATGGTACTGATTAGCGTTGTATGCGTTGTATGTTTCTTGCTTGACTAGATTTCCTTGGATATGAGAGATTCCTTGATCGTAATACTTTTTCGTATCAGAAAAGCGAAATCATTGTCTATATCGCTCTTTTATAAGTTTATATACAGTTATAGAGATGTTCATAGAATTTGATCTACTTGTTGCAATGAGTGAATTTGATAGTACCTTTCTCAAAACTGGTTGGTTCATGATACACCCCTGTGCCGTTCGATTTGATGTGACGAGATGAAATCATGCACGGCCCCTTCTTTATCTTTCAAGGTTATCTTTCACGGTGAACTTCCAGGTTTCATCAAACCCTTCAACATTGGGAGGACAATAAACTTCTAACATCAAAACCAGTCTTTATTGTGCCATTTCCCAATTCAGAGAGAGGTAACGAATATCGTCGATGGTATCTGCCCGGACCATTCTACTCTGGAATCCCCAATTCAACCAAGCCAAATTCTAGACTACAAGCAATCCTCATCAAGCACCATAACCCCAATACATTCCGATATGAGCATATACAACATGGCGTTAGAAAAAGATATGAGGGAATATCTTCTCCCTTTAGACACCACAAAAAACCAACGACGCCGTTATAAAGATCACCTGACATGCCTTCCACTTTTCGCCTCGGCCCTCTTTGTTGCAATGGTCATCACGTATTTCTCATCCCAATCCATTCATCGCCATCGGGAATTTCAGCTCACATCTGAATCTCTCCACGAATGCGCGTGGTCGCACTTGGAAAAATATGAGCAACTTCTGAATGTAGAACCGATTGCTCGGGAGGAATTTCTAGAGAGACAGAGGGTGTTGGCGGGGGTGTTGGAGAAGGACGGGGTAGATGCGTTTATTGCGGAGCCGTCGGCTTCGACCGAGTATTTTGGGAATGTCTCAAGCGCGTTTGAACTTTCTGAGAGGCCGTTTTTGGTTATTTTGGACAAGGAGGGGGCAGCGACGTTGCTGGTGCCGAAGTTTGAGAGGGGGAGGATAGGGGCTTTGGATATGGTTTTCGAGGAGGGGACAAAGAGGATTGTGGAGTGGAGGGAGGAGGAAAATCCTTATGAGGTGTTGCGTAGAGAGATGGGGTTGAAGAAGGTGGTTTTGGATGAACATGTTCGATTTATGGTGGCGGCGGGATTGCAGGATGTGGGGGTAGATGTGCAACTGATGAGTTTGGAAATGAAGGAATTGAGGGCTGTGAAGAGTGAAACGGAGTTGGATATCTTGAGGGGTGTGAATGAGTTTACGGTGCAGCTGGTAAGGAGTTTGCAGAAATGTATCAAGGTGGGTATGAGTCAGGAAAGTATTGTGGAAGCTGCCGAGGGCCTTTTTACACAAGCGGGTGTTGGGGCTGGGTTTTGGTCCATAGTTCTTTTTGGTGAACAGGCTGCTAATCCGCATGGAGGTGGTAAGGGACGGGTTCTCAGGGATGGAGAATTTGTATTGGTGGATATAGGGACTTCGTTGTATGGGTATGGAAGTGATGTGACTCGTACCATTCTCCCATCCACATCTACGGTTGATCAAGAGTTGATAGATATATGGCATTTGGTATACGATGCGCAATCGGCGGCGATCGAGAAGATGAATATTAACGAGACGTGTTCGGTTGTGGATGAGACGGCTAGGAATGTCATTAAAGCGAAAGGGTATGGAGAGTTTTTCACACATCGATTAGGTCATGGGTTAGGGTTGGAAATGCACGAACATCCATATCTCAATGGGGTCAATGGAGAGAAACTGAAGAAAGGAGAAGTCGTTACTAATGAACCCGTAAGTTTACTTATTCTCTTTCTTTCCCCCCTTTTCTCCCTCACAAACTCCCCCTTCCCTCACAACACACCCACGAAACTAACCCAACAACACCAAAAGGGAATCTACATAACCTCCTCCCAAGCCACCAAACTCGGCAAGAAAGTTGGCTTCGGCGTAAGAATCGAAGACGCGGTTTTGGTTACTGAGAAGGGAGGTAGAGTGATGACGGGATCGCGCGCAAAATCTCCTTATGAACCTTGAGGTATGGGGATCCGAAGAAAAATAAGGAATAGAAAGGAGGGGGTTTCAAAGCAAGGTTTGATGTGTGTGAGGATGATGGTGTATTGAATACCTACCTAGGGTAGACTGTAGATGCGGGTTTAGACGAGTCAGTATAAATCGTAAAGAATAGAAGGATCTTTAGACTTTAAAATCTTTGCAATTTTTGTTTTTTCGCTTTTTTGAATAAATGTGAATGGTGATGAAATGCTGAGGAGATGGAAATTTCTAATTTTGAGTATTTCTCTTCTTTTTCACAGTGGTTTGTTCATGAGTAAGTAACTGCTATACTAACTCAAAATCGGTCATTTATTCTGGTACATCTTAAACTCATTGAGGCGCTTGCATGCATGCAGCATTCCCATTTCGATGTATTAGGTTAGGTAGACGATCTCAAGTTTCGGGTACAGACTCGCTTCTACAGGTAAATAGGTAGAGGGGTAGGTGTCCAATGATGATAGCCATTATCTGTATTATGACAAGCACGATAGATTAATTTGATTTCAATTTACAACATATATGCACATCAGCTATAATTTGAGTACGAAACGAGAATGAGATCATATTCTCTAGGCTTGAATGAAGAATACATTGCCATAATTTTCATTTTAATCTGTGTATTTCTATCCGACATGCCTGTATCTTTTCGTAAGCCTTTCTTTCCTTTTCGCCAGAAGCCACAAAGAAAATTGGGTATATTGTAGTTTCTCCATATTCCAACCCCTCCTTAATTCGACGCATTGAACTCCATCCCCTGAACTACGTAGCCCAGAACGCCATAGTATGAAAGCCGCGACATGTATACCACCCAGTGTCTATCAGTTGACCTTATATCCTCTAGGTCAACAAATTTTTGACGTGAGAGAGAATGCAGCAGGAAAGGAGATTCGTAAGCCACGTGTTCACATCAATCAAGGTTGGCGAGGAGACATGAGCTGGTATTGTTGAATTTGGTGAATTGCAGATTGTTCACCGCGTTCCGAGGACTTTCGTTCCATACGTCCACCGGTAGGTTTATCAAGCTGAGGTCTGGAATCTTCAAGCTTGGCTTTAGCAAGCGCGAGTTCAAAAAGCTCAGGTTTAACAAACTCAGATTCAACAAGCTTAGGTCTGGGACCTTCAAGCTCGGGTTGGTCAGCCTTAGGCTCAGCATGCTCGGGTCCAGCAAGCCCGGGTTTAGCGAGTGCGAGTGCAAGAGGCTCGGGTTCAATAAACTCAGGTTCAAAAAGTTTGGATCTGAGATCTTCAAGCTCAGGTTTAGCAAGGGCGAGTGCAAGAAGCTCAGGTTTAATAGACTCAGATCCAACAAGCGTAGGTCTAGGATCTTCAAGCTGGGGTTCAACCGTAGGCTCAAAAGGCTCAGGTTCATTTGGTGGTGCTTCATCTTGTACGACGTCCTGCAATTCTGATATGGGTTCACGTGTATCAGCAACCACAGCTTCTTTTTCAGAACGTTGAGGTTCGGAATTTTGACCTTTGCTTTCCTGAGAAATACTAGCTCGCTTTTTCGGGACAGTCTTGGCCCCTCCACTAATTTTCCTCTTTCGATCGGCGGTGACTGCAGCAATGTGTGCTTTCGTGGCTTGAAATTCTGCTTCTTTCTTTTCCTCAAGAGCCCTCTTTGCGTCGTGCTGTTTTTGCAAATCTCTAGCCATGTTGAATCTTTCGTATTCTTTTAAGAAATCTAGGCCTATTTTCCATTGTTTATCGTTGGCACATTCACTCTCAGTTAGATGCGGTGCCCAATGTAAGGGTCTCTCAGCAGCGCGTCGCCAGAATTCCGCAGATTGAGAGCTGACAACCTGAGAATGTCCATTGTAAACAATGTCTGACAGTGCCTTATAGAATGCGGCAGCTTCTGCTTCTAAGCCCAGAACGCGAAGAGAGCGAAGGATTCTGCTGATTCTCAAATGGTTGTGATCTCTCCTGATAAGCCAATTGGAGCATCTTTCATAAAAATTGGAGGATTTTGTTATCTGAGAGAAAATGTTAGGCTTTTGCGATTAGTTATGGTTGTCGATTTGATGCAAAACTTACAACAGGAAGATCATTTCCATCCAAATCATCAGCGAACTTGAACCCATAGAAGTCCAACATTTTAATCAAAGAGTCCTTGAGATTACATTGTAATTCGGTTGAAGAATTGAATGCATGGAACGCATTGAAGACATTCTCATCAACTAAAGGAGCGCCTGAAAACATAGACTCCTCTGGAAGAGGGAACAGCCATTGAATGTAGTCGTGTATATCCTCCAACTTCTCATAATCCCAAGACATAATGTGCGAAAGCAGTCGTCCTGCATTGTCCGGCGTCTTGTTTCGATAGAAAGATACAAGACGGCTCTCAACCTCAGGTGGCTCGACAAAATCCCCGAGAATAGACATACTGCTCGATCTATCTCTATCGTTGAGTGATGATGTTGTGGTTTGTAGGTTGTGGGTTGTGTTTTATGTAAGTATTAGATAGGAGTGGAATCTCTCACTACATCTGATGATGCATATTTCTCAAAAGATTTTTCCAAAATGATTATGCATCGTTTGAAACATTGCTTAAAATTGAATGCATGAATTTGAATTTGGGTGTTACGGGAAAAATCCATGACGAGCAAGGCTGAGGTAATAAGGCTAACGGTGGGAGTGAGCGATATGGGGTTAGTGAGAGGATCGTCCCTCTCTATAGGCCAATCATATATCGTACTTATAATTCGATCGCCAAAATCATCTGCAAGGCTAATTGATAGTTGACCAATCATAAAGTATTGTGCGTTAATTAACTTTCTAACTTTCCGAATTAAAAATAGACTCAGATTTTATCATCCAGTGAGATTCATTCCGCTGGAGATGAAAATGAAGAAAGAGAGCCAATGATATTGGAAGATCTCAAAGTCAAGCTTCATCGTATTTTGCAAGGCGCAAGGCAGCAAGGAAGCAAGGTAGCAAGGCAGCAAGGCTACCAAGACACACGACACATGAGTGGAGGGGTAAAATCTTCCGTCTACGTCTGTTTTGAACCTTTGATCCATTCCCATGTTATATTCATTCTGCATTCTGCATTCTGCATGTAAGCCATAGCCGTTGGAGCATTTCCGGCTTTTCATTTCTATCTTCACGCCGATATACATGACCAATGAATATCGAATCAACGCTCTTCCCACTACCGCCACCATCCTCATATGCCATCACACACAGCAACACCCCAGACATTCCTTATCTCGGCACATGTTGTATTCGTCTTATCAACACCCACACATTTTGAATTCCCTTCTTTTCTCCTAAGCCTTCAAATGTCGTGACACGCACACTCTTTCAGTGATACCTAGCGTTTTGGATGATTCGAGTGAGCACGAGATGCTCAAACGTCTTATTATCCCCCAAAGTCTCAGATAGCAGCGTGAAGATCAATTGGAACGTACTTACTGATGGTGTTATTGACATGCCTCATCACAACACTTCCTACACCTTCACGAGTACCTGCCAACTATTCTTCATCAGGCAGGTAATGCACATCGTGTTAACTCCTTCCTTTACTGTCTTCCCTCATGCAGGTGGATTGAGATAGAGATATTGCATCTGATCAATGCTGCAAGTTACTTATCATACTAGTCGAATATGAGCAAGAATGGTGTCAATAACCCTGTTGACCACCCCTGAATACACATGTAGCCTTGCATGCAGCCTTGCAATACGTTACTTGCCAAGTTCTTAGCACTCTAGGAAGAGAGCTCTGCACCGATATTCGCAGTTATTTACCAGACATGGTAGGTGATAAGGAAGCTCCCATAGCTATTTTCATTGTTCCATAAGAACTTGAGCTCTCCCTAAGTGGTTGAGAACTCAAGTGAATTCTCTTTTTGCTCACATCATGCATTTCTCACTTATCGTTGCATACGGTCTCCTGACTGGAGTGATTGCCGCTCCAGCTCCTCAGAAAAGACATGTTGTTCATGAGCGAAGAGATCAAGCACCTCGCAATTGGCGTAGAGAGAATCCATTGCACCCGGATTCAAGCCTCCCAATGCGATTTGCCATCACCCAAAACAACTTGCACAATGCCGAAGCATACTTGATGGATGTTTCCGACCCATCTTCTCCAAACTTTGGCAATCATTGGAGTGCGAAGAAGGTCGCTGAAACCTTTGCCCCAAGTGCTGAATCGCTTAGAGCAGTAACCCAATGGCTTGCAGAGTATGGAATAAAAAGCGACCGCGTAAAGCAATCGCAAAGTCTCAATTGGATTCATGCCAACGTTACCGTTGCAGAAGCAGAGTCTCTTCTCAACACTAAGTACTACGTAAGTCCAACTACGTCTCTCTGATTTGCTTCTACCGATGTTCGACTTTATATGTTTATACCCATCACAACTCTCTTCGTCCACCCACAGCTCTGGTTTTCATCTCTTCCTAAAATCCTATTCGGTAGACAATCACTGATTCTCTAACTTGTAGTCTTATACACATGCGGAAAGTGGCCAAACCGCTGCTGCTTGTGACGACTACAGCGTGCCTGAAAACGTTCGCAAACACATTGATTTCATTACACCAACACTTCACTTCGATGCAAAGGTTGTACCTCAAAAGGAGAAGCGAGAATTGAGTACTCGTCAGAAAGATCAGCTTGCCAGAAGAGCAATTGGTGAAGGCCACAGAGTGGGATCACCAAATGATCCATCATTGCCCAAGCAAGGCAAAATTGTTTCCACTACATCACACGCTAAACTACAATCTTCGGCGTTGACAACTTGCAATACACACATCACACCCGATTGTCTCCAGGCTTTGTATGAGCTTCCAACAGATGCTCCTTTTGCGGAAGGAAGTAAGTATGCCCCTCCGCTGATGGCATCAAATTTAACCATTCATAGATTCATATGGTATTGTCGAATATACGCCACAGGCATATCTTCCTGGGGGTAAGTGTTGCTTTCCATTTAGTATTGCATATATTGACATCAAGTATAGATTTGGATCTTTTCTTTGGTAACTTCTCTCCTGCACTTGTCGGGTCTAGACCCGTCTTCGATTCCATAGATGGAGGTGTTCTTCAGACAGTTGTTGAGTCCTTCCGCTATAACGGAGAATCAGTGAGTTTATTCTGACATCCATTCATAAATCACCCACCTAATTCAACCCAGGACTTAGATCTCGAATACGGAATGGCACTTGCATACCCTCAAGAGGTAACATTATATCAAACCGGAGACATTGCACAGGGAGCTTCATTTAACAACTTCCTTGATGCTATCGATGGCGATTATTGCACAACAGATGGCGGCGACGATCCAGTTTACGATGCAGTATACCCTGATCCATACGGGAACACCAGCTACTATTACCAAGGACCTGCGAACTGTGGTGGATTCGCTGCTACCAACGTTATTTCCACATCCTATGGTTATGATGAGACTGATCTTTCCCCCGCCTATGAGATACGTCAATGCAATGAATATCTTAAGCTAGGTCTTCAAGGTGTCACCGTCTTGTATTCTTCTGGTGACTACGGTGTTGCGGGTAATGGAGGCGCATGTGGCGCTGGTAACAGTGTGTCATCTCATCTCATATATTATTGGAAAATCTCATTCTAACAATTGCAACAGCATTCAACCCTTCATTCCCTGGGACATGTCCATATATTACAGCTGTCGGAGCTACCCAAGTCAAGCCAAACGCTACTGTTACTCAACCAGAAGAGGCTGCTGAGTCTGTCAGTAAGTACCATCGTTTTTTAATTGGTCTGACAATCCTCTTCATGTTTACTAATCACAATTGTCTAGTCTATTCTGGTGGAGGATTCTCCAACGTCTTCTCAACTCCCGACTACCAAACTGATGCCTTAGCAACCTACTGTAAGTAAACTCAGTCTTTGAATACCACGGCCGTCTCAACCCTATCCACATATACTACCTTTGTACCCCCAAAGCCCGCACTAACCTCCCTCCAGTTGCCGAGCATCTCCCACCTTACACCTCCGCCCAATACAACAACTCCCAAGTGACCCGCGGTTTCCCAGACATCTCCGCCAACGGTGTAAACTATGTTGTTGCTGTCGACGGCGTGTTCTCTCTCGTTTACGGCACCTCTGCTTCTGCTCCCGTGGTTGGCGCCATCTTTACCTTAATCAACGCTGAGCGTATCAATGCTGGCAAGGCACCTATTGGCTTCGTTAACCCAGTGTTGTATGCCAATCCAGGTGTATTGAATGATATCACTAGTGGAGGCAACCAAGGATGCGGCACTGCTGGATTTACGGCAGTGGAGGGATGGGATCCCGTTACTGGTTAGTGTTCCTTCTTTCCTTTCCTTGCCTTGCCTTTCTCTATCTTTCTCAAGTATCTTGGGCACTGTTGAATTGAGAAGAGTATAAGATCTTATGCTTTTACAATAGTATACTAACGTCTATGAAACAGGTCTCGGAACACCCAACTACCCCAAACTTCTTGAACTCTACCTCTCACTCCCTTAGAGAATGTTCGTTTGCGCACATAGGTATATATATCATGGACAGAAAAACCAGACGACATGGACTCTTAGAAAGTCAATCATAATTGAGACTTTACATCCTGGAATTGCTAAGATGAATGTTGTATATAGTTTGAAGAAAGACAGGCCGGGGATATCAGCAATGTAGGCTAAAGATGCCTGTTTTATTTGACAATCTTTAAGGATTATGTATGTATCTTATTGAGTAATATACATAATATAAATAGGATATATGTAACTTCGAAAGAGAATTATTGACACATACCGTATTATTTGCACCAGACCACTCTGGCGATGCGCATTGAAAACATTTCTGTTCTGAAAAAATTTAAGCAAGGCCTACCTAGGTAGTATCTAATCGATTTTTTATTCAAATCGTCCTTTACATCTGTCCACAACGCCCTTGCATTTCTCAGGCTTTCTGTTCTCCTCTGATTGTACCTATCTGAGGAGCGATTTCTGCTCGCAAGTTTTTACAATTACAAAACAAACCTTGCTAGGCATAACGAGAACTCTTGAAGCTAGCTTTCGCATGGCTGACCATGGCAGGAATAGGAACTCACTAGGAAAGATGCATCGATGAGGGGGTTGACAGAGAATGGATGGATAATAAACCGGCGTGTGCTGGGGGTTCAGAGGCAGACTGGTTGGTCGCGATTTGGGCGAACAAGAGATTGAGCGGAAAGAAATGGCATGGGAATACAAAAGAAACTGCAAGAGGATTATGCACAAATACACTGGATCATGGTCTGAGATCGATGTATTTTTGCAATGCGTTTGATTAGATTTTATGACATGCTCCATTTATTACGACGAAGCTTCATATCACAGCGAAAATATCAATCCTCTGCAAAGATAATCTGAGATTGTCATGCCACAACCAGAGACTCATTTCATTGAGAGCGGAATAACGATCAAGTCCACTCCTTTTGAACGCACAGGGCTTTCCCTCTCAAACCATGACACATGAACGGTAATCGAGTATCTTTCCCTCATAAGTGCTTTCAAATTTTACCCCCAAGGAATACAGTTCATTGCGGAAACATCTTAATTATTTTTTGTTGGGTAGTGTGACATTTACCATTGCTCGGTACCGGAAGCAGCCCACTCTTGTCCAGCGGCAGCTGGTGCAGCAGCCCAGTCAGATGGCTCAGCAGCATCCCATGAAGCTCCACCAGCGGCAGCAGTGTTGCTAGCAGCAGTGAATGCACCAGCAGTAGCACCAGAGACCTCCCAGTCACCAGCACCTGCGAATCCTTGGTCAACAGCAGCGGCACCGACCTGTAAGATTGATTAGCAAAAGATCTCTCAAAATCAATCTGGAATATATGACATACCTCATCAGCACCTGGAGCCTTGGCTTCCTCAATAGCCTCCTTGTTCTCCTCAGCTTCTGGGTCACGGTAGAAGTACAAATCAACCATGGTGTCCCACTCGGCCTCACGGGAAGCGATGGAACCACGGAGACGGAGGACCTCACGGGCCAACATCCACCAAACCAAACCAATGGAGTGACGACCCTTGTTGTTGGTTGGGATAGCTACATCGACGAACTCAGTTGGGGAATCGGTGTCGCAAAGGGCGATAACTGGGATGTTAACGTAGGAAGCCTCCTTGATAGCTTGAGCATCGGTACGTGGGTCGGTAACAATGATGAGGCGGGGTTCCTTGAAGGATCTGGTGATGTAATTGGTGAAGTTACCAGGGGTGAAACGACCAGCGATGGCAACGGCACCAGTGTGGGCGGCGAACTTCAAGACGGCACGTTGACCGTAAGGACGAGCAGAGATAACACAGATATCAGCTGGGTTGTCGATGGCTGCGATGATACGGGCAGCAAGGACGATCTTCTCCCTGTAAAAATAGATTTATTAGATCCAACTTTTTTCAACTGGCGCATTCAAATTTCATTCTGTTCAAACATACCAGGTCTTGCCAATGTTGATAACATTGATTCCATCTGGGCGAGTCTTCCAGAGGTATGGCTCCATGTGAACTTGCAAGTTCTTGGCTCCCAAATGGCATTGAGCGGCCAAAAGCTGCTCAATATCCTGGGAGGTAGGATTGAAAATCGCGGGGAGTTGAGAAGGTGCCATCTTTGCGATTTGATGTGGTTGTCGAATTTGGTCAAACCTTTGGAAGATGGTTGTCGAAAGTTGTCGATTTGCTGAGGACGAAGAATAATTTTGCGATAGTGCGAGATAAAAGTATGCGAAACCCTAATCAAGATTGTCAGTTGACCCTTGTAATTATTGCCATAAATACAAGGCTTGAGTTCGCGATACATGCTAATCATATTTGGGTTAGCTCGGAAATTTATCCAGATGGGACTTTGAGGGGAGCAAAGTACTGGGCTGATAAAATAAATGAGTTGATTTGATTAAACACATTCACAATGCCTCCTCGAATATCCATCATTTCGCGATTGAGTGCAACTCCTTGTAAGATGAAGACACCGACAAATTCATGAATCAATTTATCTAATCGTAACAATAGTGCGTTTTCGCCCGATCTCAAGTTCATCAACATGCTCTTTCTCAACCACATCCGCAGCTAATGCGGCTACATTTGCCCAGCGAAGAGCGCATAAAGATCCTTACGCATTAGCACAATCTAGACAGAGAAAGCAGTCGAATTTGGAAAGGCAGGCCGTGTTAAAGAAGGAGCGGGAATCATCATTGGGGGATCCGGTACGGGGTGTGTCGACACCATTTCTGGAATCTCTTGATAACGTTGGAGGATCCACGCTCAAACTCGATGCAACTATAACCAAAGGTTCTGGAGAGGGCGCGAAGATAAAAAATGTCGACAATGTTCTTTTGAATCACTTCTTGACCCCAACTGAACTTCAAGGTGCCATTCAACATTCATACTACCTTACAGAGCCTCTGTTGGCCGAGAATCGAGATCTAGCAGATGTTCACGCCGAGGAGCAGGCAAAGAAACAGCACGAGGAGGCTCATGCGAATGCGGCCGCAGCATTAGCACGTATTGTAAGCTTAGAAAATGCAAGTTCGAAGGATAAGACCAGAGCGAATATTGTAAGGTGCATAAATACATTTGGACGTCACCAGACGGATGGAGTATTGAGGCCCAGGGCACCTACGCGCGATGCTATTGAAGGCGCTGATCTGCCAGAAAAGACACCAAGAGCTGGTCCTGACACCGGCAGTTCTGAGGTTCAGATTGCGATTTTGACTACAAAAATCAGGGTCTTGGCGAATCAACTGGAATCGAAGCGGGGAAATAAGGATAAAGTTAACAAGAGAAACTTGCGTTTGTTGGTCCACAGGAGGCAGAAGCTGCTAAACTATTTAAGGAAAAAGGAGCGAGGAAGTGATAGATGGGAGAATTTGATCGCAACCTTGGGCTTGACAGAGGGTACATGGAAAGGGGAGATCAGTCTGTAAATAATATCAATATGTATATCACCACGCCCAGAGAACACATCCTGAAAGGTGTAAAAGTTTGTCTTGCAATTTTGAAATCAGTATCCGTAATCTCCCTACGCCAGCTCGCCAACTAGACCAGTACAAAGACCCAACAGCCAACTGTCAGGTTTGAAGAAAAGACTATTAATAACATATTTATCCCCATACTAGAATACACTGATGTAGTTGCCGATTCGTTCCTTTTGGTTTTGTGCTATACACTCGGCGATCCAGGTGATGTTGCGGATTTCCTGTGAATGTCAGTGTCCATCCGTTAGCAGTGTACGAGTATTACACATACCTGTTCTCTCAACTTGACCCATGCATAGACAATGGCAAACGTGAATTGTCTTGTGAATGCACCCTTGGAAATTTCCATCTCCTTTTGGTAAAACAGATCTTCTAAACTTTTTTCGTTACCGCCAGCTCCTCCACTCATGTTGCCCGCTCCTGTGGTACTTTGCCCCATTCCAGTGGCATCAAAATAACCCTTATAATCACTAACTCCCTCAACAGCAAGTCTAACGCCTTCTATATCCTCTGCTCTTGAAAGTAAAATCGTTCCCGATGGAGAAAGGCGCCCAAAGCTTGGGTATAGCTTTTGGCGGTCTTTCTTTGATAGCTCTGTGCCGAAAGAGTTGAGGGTAATGTTGATAGCTCTTCTATCGGCTTCGAATTCGAGCATCTCAGACATAACTTCAGCTGTCGGGGTGTTGGCCATTTCTGGGTCGGTATTGACAAAGTTGTAGAAGTCCTCTAGGTAGTTTTTGTACAAGGTATTGCGGACAATCTCAATGTTGAGCTCATCCAAATCTTGGTGACTTAAACTCCCCTTAAAGTAGGGTGCCAATGGAGTTTCAATCAAGACACTGTTGTATAACTCTTCTATATTTGTAGCCACACACAAGACAGGCATAGTTTCGAACCAACCAAGAGGATGGCATCGTTCAAGTAGTTCTCGGGTATCTCTTTCATGGAGAGTACCAGTAATCAAAAGGGCTACATTATCGATCATGTATCCATACGTCAGGTAGTCCATAAACTTTGCAAGTGAGCCGACTGCGTTTGCGCGTAGGTATCGAAATTCGGAGATGAGTTTGTCGGTCGTTTTGGCAGCGAGGGTAGATGTTGAAGGATTAGGTGGAAGTGATGCTAGGAAATCGCCATACGCTGGCCCAAGTTGAAGCTTAAGATCTAGCCCCTCGTTACTAAATGTATTTGATGTACATGAGAGAATTAATTACCATCGATAGTCTCGCATTGAATCAAATTATTATAGTTCTGGCCAGTCAAGAGTCCGTTGCGATAACCTCTGACGATACCCTCGATGTAGCTACGAACGTATTAGTCATGGATGGTATAAGTCGTGATTCTGAAACCTTACCCATTCTGAACATTGAAAAATAGACCTTCCATTTTCTTTCGTTGTCTGCGAACACGATCTATTGTCGTTGCTTGAGGTTTGTCTGGACCAGTTGAGTTGCCTTCGCAAGAACTACTTGCATGGATTGCGAGTGGGTTCAATGAAGTTGGTTATTTGTCACCTGACCCGACCACTAAGCCACTGTGGGCACCCCTGTTTGGCTCGAGATTCTCATTAGCGTCTGCCACTATTTTTTGCTTGAACAAAAAATTATTCCTTGCAAAAAACCTCAAGCTTCAGAATTTGGACGCCCATTGAACAACATCACCACGAAGAGACTTGGATTATTTCTTCACAATGGCGCCTTTATTTATTCTTACGGAGACGGCGGCTGGATTGGTCTTATTCAAGGCTGACAAAAAGCTTTTGAAGAAGGACGATGTTGCTTCAGAAATTGAGACCGCAGAGGGTATCAATGGATTGTGAGTGCAATTGATCCAACATCGCACATTTCCAATTGAGATACAGACTTCTAACATGTTCAATTACACATATCAGATTGAAGCTTAAGCAGTTCCAAAAGTTCGACAGTGCCGCGACAGCTTTGGAGGAGGTTGCTTCGTTGGTCGAGGGAAAGGTTTCACCTATGCTTGCATCACTGCTCGATACCTTGAAAGATGAGAAGAAGGCATCTTTGGCAGTCGCCGATCCTAAATTGGGACAAGCTATCAACAAACTTCCAGGTTTGACTCTGACACCAATTTCCGACTCGAAAACAAATGACATTTTCCGTGGAATCCGCGATCACCTCCCCTCTTTGATCCCAGGTCTCCTTCCCGAACACATCTCCACCATGTCGCTCGGTCTGTCGCATTCTTTGTCGCGCCACAAGCTGAAGTTCTCTCCCGATAAGGTTGATACTATGATTGTACAAGCTATTTCGTTATTGGACGACCTGGACAAGGAGCTAAACACGTACGCTATGAGAGTCAAGGAATGGTACGGATGGCATTTCCCAGAAATGGGCAAGATTGTTAACGACAACTTGGCCTATGCTAGAGTCATCTTGAAGGTCGGTATGCGCGTCAACACTTCCAGTACCGATCTTGCAGATATTCTCCCAGAAGAAATCGAAACTGCCATTAAAGCTGCTGCTGAAGTTAGTATGGGTACTGAAATCACTCAAGAAGATTTGGATAACATCAAGCTTTTGGCTGAGCAAGTTGTTGGCTTCACCGAATACCGCCAACAATTGTCAAGCTACTTGACTGCTCGTATGCAAGCAATTGCCCCCAACTTGACTGAGTTGGTCGGTGATTTGGTTGGAGCTCGATTGATCGCCCACGCTGGATCTCTCATGAATCTCGCAAAGAGCCCTGCCAGTACCATCCAAATTCTTGGTGCTGAGAAGGCTCTATTCAGAGCTCTCAAAACGAAACATGACACACCAAAGTACGGTCTTATCTATCATGCTTCATTGGTTGGTCAAGCTACCGGCAAAAACAAGGGAAAGATCGCCCGTATGTTGGCTGCCAAGGCAGCCATTGGTCTCCGCGTTGATGCTTTATCAGACTGGAGTGCACAAGGTGAAGGCAAGGGTGACGACGTTGATGACGAGGAGAGATCTGCACTGGGTGTCACTTCACGTGCCAAGATTGAGCGTCACCTTAGAGGACTTGAAGGAAAGCCCCTCCTTCCTCGAGGTGTTGCTGTTGGACCAAATGGCAAGACCACCTCAGCTCCTGGTAAATGGGAAGTCAAGGAAGCCCGCAAGTACAACGCAGATGCAGATGGACTTGCTGGAGATGAACCAGCTGCCACAGTTCCTATCAGAGAGAAGAAGAACAAGCAGTAAGTTGAAATGCTTCTTGCTCACACATTACGTTCGAAGCTAACTATTTTAGACTCATCGAAGAAGTCGCTGAAGAATCTGGTTCTGATTCTTCCGACGATAGTGATGCTTCTGAGAAGAAACCCAAGAAGGGAGACAAGGAAGCTAAGAAGGCCGAGAAGGCTGCAAAGAAAGCTGAAAAGGCCGCCAAGAAAGCCGCAAAGGAAGCTAAAAAGGCTGCAAAGGCTGAGAAGGAAGCGAAAAAGAGCGCCGTAAATGATACACCAGAAGTCAACGGCAGCAAGAAGAGAAAGTCAGAAGACGATGGTGAAAAGTCTGAGAAAAAGAAGAAGAAGAAGAGCAAGGATTGATTGATTGGACGTAACTCTTCTTTCAGTTCTGTATCATAATGCTTCGGATATCATGAGTCTGGGCGTATAGGGTTGCTTGTTTATAAATTGGCGTAGGGACGGCAGTGTCAGGGTATTGTCTTTAGGCTTAGATGCTTTTGCATAACACATATTTTGCATTGACAAAATAGTCAGCACTTTCAATAAAAGCTTTGTTCAAAATAATCACTGCAATAAATCTTCCATCTTGTACAAGAAAATAGTCTTTTTTTTCGTTTGTCTACAGGTATCCACACGAGAGATAAACACTATCATACTACTACTCTGTACAGAAATAGGACAAGATTTAAAGTGCCATGGTTATGATAGTGTTGTAATCAATATCTCAATCTCAAAATGTCAAACAGGATATAGTTTTTCCCTAATATCACATCACAGATTGGTGGTATTGAAAAAGGGACCGAGAATTAGCCGAACGGATACCAGAATATCGCAAGCCAGCTGCAAGAGCTTCCTCTTCATAATCTCATAAACACCATGGCAGGTCTCAAACTTAAAAAGCGAGCTCGCTCCCGATCTCCTGAACGCGATACCGATAAAACTTACCGCAAACGATCGCGATCGCCCAGAAGAGATAGAAGAAAATCACCAACTCGAGAACGAGAGCGCGAACGTGAGCGCGAACCGGAACGAAGAAGACCTTCGCCCCCAAAAGGTGCTGCAGATGATGATTTAGATGTAGCTGGAAAGTTTGGTTCTTCTTCTACTAGTAAAGCGCAAAAGAAAGATGAAGAGAAATCAAAAGATGCTGAGCAGCCAGAGGAGGAAGATGCACTCGACATAGCCAGCAAATTCGGCGCATCTGCATTTTCGAAATTCAAAGCTTCTTCTGCCTCATCTTCCTCCAAATCTAAAAATCAAACCACGGATTCTATGTCTGCTCCTGTTAGAACACCTGCAGCTTCGATATCTACACCCGTCACTGCTTCAGCGGCCCCATCGAATGAAGCCATGATTATTGTTCATGTTAATGATCGGTTGGGAACGAAAGCTGCCATTCCGTGCTTGGCAAGTGATCCAATTAGGCTTTTTAAAGCGCAGGTAGCCGCGAGGATTGGCAGACAACCGCATGAAATTATGTTGAAGAGACAGGGAGAGCGGCCGTTTAAGGATAAATTGACGCTGGAGGATTATGGGGTTGGTAATGGGGTGCAAATTGACTTGGAAATTGATACTGGGGAGTGAGCGGGAGATTGTGGGGGGAAATGGGATGATTTGCGGCCAATTTGATAGATTTGAAGTTTGGAGAGTTGGTCTATAGTTCTGACTATGGCGATGGGGAAATCATCGTTGGTATCAAAGTACCTAGGTAGACTTTTATCTGGCGGGCTCGGGGAAGCTCACGGGAACCGGAATGGCTTGCAGATCTGCCACGTATGCATTCGTAAAAAATATACAATGAGAAAGGGAAATTGGCATTGATACATGATACTCTTTGCTACTAATAAGAATTTAACTCATACCAAACCATCAATCCTCAATCTCCAATTTATCTTTGACTTTCAGCCTTGTTTGGATCCAAAAAATAAACATCCTTATCGATAAGCCTCGTCTGCCGAAACCAATTTCCCATCACAACACACAACACAATATGCATTGAGTAACTCTCAATCTTCTACTCTCCAAGTTCTCTCAACTATCCATGAGAGATAAATTGATGCACCAACCATGCTCACCTGTCCCCCCACCCTCTATATCCGCCGGCCATCCCCAACAACAATCGAATACACCGTCAGCACCCGCCCACCTCTGGCCCTCCCCCTCCGCATTCTCCTAATCCTCACACACATCATCCGAGTGGTCCTTGCCCTCGCGATTCTCCTCCTCCTATATACCTATTACCTAACTCTTCTCCCTCCCCCGAGCATCCTCTCCTCTCTCACCATCCCTCCGTCTATCCTCCTCCTCCAAGCTCTCACCACTCTCCTCTCACCTCTACTCCTCGTTCCTATTTCCCTCGCCCTCCTCCTCTTCCTCACCCTGCGCCCTCACACCTCCGAGTCCCTACTAATCCTCCGCCATCTCGGTCTCCAAATCTCAAGTTCTCCGAAAACATACCTGAGTACTACGAAAACGAGATTCATCCCGAGTCAAAAGATTCAAGATATCTACATCAACGAAGTATTTTCGAATTTTGAGGTGCGCTATGTGTTAGTGGTTGTTGTGGAGGGAGAGGGCGAGTTGGTTGTTGTCTTTGAGAGGTTGTTGCCTGGGAGAGCGGTGCTGGAGAGGGTTTGGAGGGGAGGGAGAAGAGGGTTGTTTGGGGGAGAGGAGAGGGGTGGTGGGAATGGGGATGCGAATGGGGGAGTTAATGGAGGTGTTGGAGGAAAAGAGACTCTGTCATAAAAAAGTCTTGCTGTTGGCGCTGACCTTGGGAATGTGATTTGAAAGTTCTTCTAATGTGGATGGTGACGATATGCTTGGGGGTAATATATGAGATGAGCAGGCGTGTGGGCTGTTTACATGGCACCTACAGACTGCTTGCCGTTTGCGCTTAAAGATTTGGCGTATGACATAGGGAAAGAAGGGTCTTTTTAGCCTTGCATTACGGAGGAAGTACTAGGAATAGGAGGATGGGAGGGCTCGACAACCAATTCCCAGTCAAGAACTGGAGAGGTTAGCAGGAGACCTGATTATGTCATTAGCGTAATAAGGGCATCTGAATTAGGGTCGATTCTCGTCCCCTAGTCCGTAGAAGGACACACAGATGGGCAAGTGGGGTGTCAGGCGGGAGGAAGACGCATGATATGTCTCAGAGGCAAAAGGGACCCATATCTACCCCTCTCAGCCCATCGTCTATACCTATTCAGGTCACAATTTACACACATCGACCACTCACATACAAGCATCTGCATATATTTGAAGAGTCCTTGTATTTACCAACTCCATATTCATCTCCAGTCCAATTCTAACTCCAGTAGCCACCCAAAATTACTTGATAAACCCACGCCATTTCATTTTGCCTTACAAAATCCCACCCACCCCTCACGCCAGTACTCAAACCAACCTCGCACGCCCAAGAAAAATACAGTCCAATCATTCTACAAACAAACCCTCCACCCGAATCCCACGGTCTCAGTCTCACACCATTTCATACCATCTCATTCCAACCACACCACATACAGCTCCACAGCTGCAGAACCTGGTTCCCAGGGGCCCGCAGAACCATGCATAAACGGGAACTACTGCAGCCCTGGCGTCTCTTACCAGCTGCAAACACTAAAGAGCGTGTTCAACCGGCGCTGCTCCATCCCCGCACTGGAAACAAGCGCTCCACCCAATCATAATCGTCGTTACTTCGTTAGAAAATGCTTTGAAGTTCCGCTTTGAGTGAAAATAAAAGCAGCGCAGATAATAATTCACGGGCTGCGGCTAACACGAACGGTATCAAGGAAAAGAAAAAGGGGACTTTTTTTCGTAAGCGATGGATAGAAGTAGGAAATAAGCAATATGAAGAAATATGCTTTTAGTACTCTGGAGATGGGTAACGTTCGCGAGCTTGTGCGTATTCTTTGGGGTGTCGTTTTGAGACTTTGGTTTTCATGGCTCTGGAATGTTGTTAGATTTGAGGTTTAGTGGAATAACAATAGAAAAATCGACTCACCCCATTCGATGTTGAGTCCACTCTAAATTAGCCTTCACCTCCTTGGCATCTTGATAACCTTCTTGCAATCTCGCTCTAGTTCTCGCAAGACGTTGTTGTGCCAATGCTTGCAAATCCATGATTTCTCTATGTTTTGCGTTCAACAAACCAGATCTGATGGAAATGTCAGTGGGTGAAAATTGAAGGAAGGTGTTCAGGACTCAATTCTCACGTTTGTGCTTGAACTGCTAGAGTGCGATCTAAAGGAAGAGGATCAAATGCGCCAGAAAATCGATCTTGCATATATTCTTGCAAATCGACACCATTGGCGGAAGCGGTGCTATCATATTCACCACTTGCACTCCCAGCATAACTACTGGAAGTAGCAGAGTAAGTCGAATGTCCATATGCAGGCGTCATGCCTGAACCTGTAGTGACAGATTCTGGAGCTTCTGGTGGCGAGACACCATAAGTTGTATTTTGTGGAGTGTAATAAGAAACTTGTTGAGATTTTGTAGGAACGGGAATGGGGAGGGAAGTGGTTTGGTAGTAGGTTGCTTGGTAGGCCATGATGTAATAGCGTATAATTAGAGTGAAGTTAAAAATTTGTAAACGACAACAAAGAACTTTAGACGAATGAATTTTTTCGATATGGATTGCTATGCAATGCGAGTAATAGGAAAGATGCAATTGTAATATCTTGATGGTGATATGATACAATGGTCAAGCACAGACAATAATGTAAGGGTCAATGAGTATGAGAAGTCTTCTTTGTTAGACAAGATAAAGTTGTTTGTATGAAGCGGTGTAGAGTTGAGAATGGATTTGAAAATGGATTAAAAGGAAGAAGAAAGAGATTCTGGAGAGAAGGATCTCAAGCTTCCTTTTATACACGGCCAGCTGGCCCAAATCACCTAGAGAGGACTAGCATTGAGGAGGGGGAATAGGAAATTTGTCTTGTCCCCGAACTTCCTTACCTACTTATCAATGACCCCGCGTCAAGAAGGAAGAGATAGGCTGATCGTTTGCTCTCTTGCCCCTTTCCTTACTAGTCCATTATCATCAGCCTCCTCCAATCCACCCTTTCCATCCTCTCACGTTTAACCCGAGCCCCTCCAGACATGCAGTAGTATCTCTCGATGGGGTGACCCTTGAAGACTCTGGCTTACGCAGTTGATGTGGATTGGTTCCAGAGTAGAAAGTGTTATTGATCAGAGATAGGCCATGTTGCTATTGCATATGCCGAGGGGATTGGATTGGTGGAAAGGGTGGGAGAGAGGAAGGAATGGAAGGGTTGGTGGTAGTAGTGGTGGTGGTGGTGGACAAGTTCATTCTCTATAATTTTCAAGGAAACGAACTATGCCGTAAAAGGATTTAGCAAGGCCTGAAAACCGACGAACAAACGAGCAAGCGCGCTCACGCTAGAATAAAAGGATTAATCAAGTGAATTGAGGTTCCCGACATAAAAGCAGCATTGGATGAATATACCATGTAGGATTTTCCTAGGGGTTTCCACATGAGCATCGTTAGTAAGGTTAGGTGATCATGTAAGGTGGTAAGGTATCAAGGTATTGGTAAGGCAAAGTAAGATAATCATGGCGGAAAGATTTCTGAACGTTCAATGGTCAATGGATTTTCACTTGGGCTTCATTGCAGGAATATTAGGCTTTAGGGCCGGAGAGAAGATCCTAACATGATACAATTGTTAAGTGACATATTTGAGTAGTTAGTATTGCTCAGTATCTAGGTACCTAGGTACAGGTGGTACAACTCATTTGATAGTCTCATAGCTACCTAAGTACGTTGTTTCCAATTGGGAAATCTGGACATTTTCTAGCAAGAGAATGGTACAATTGGACAATTGGACAATTAGCTTTTCGAAAATCTCCTACTTACAGAGAGTATGACTTACTTTCGTTTGTTCCCATCTGCATGCGTTGTCAATTTGAAGATTCTACCGTTTAATGCCCTCCCAACACGCCCCCCTTGTCGGATTGGGACGGGAATGAGAAAGCAGGCGAATAGAAATGTCACCGATATTGAAGATTCCTGAAGGGTTTAGACATCTAAGGAGACCAATCATTGTGATATCTTTCACCTACTTTTCGGTTCTTGAGAAACCACCGATACATGCAGGACAAATGATCACAGGATTGCTTTCGGTCCCAGAGATCTCGATTCCTTTCCTGGCATTGTGAACAACACTCCTGCACGTCATGACGGCAAAAAGTACCAAAGACGTTGACTTTTTGCTACTAAGAAGCCACTTCCATTAGTACAACCTGGCAAGCTGTGTGTTTGCAACTAATCCGAGGAACATCGGATTGATAGTGGTATATTATTCATGAGGCCATCAAAGTGGTTTTATGTGTTACCAAATAGATTACATTTTGTTGTTCCGAAGCTGGGTCCTAGCCTGCAGATATATCATGTTCCATGTGCATTTTAGTGTTGAGCTACAATCAAACGGTGCGGTAGCAATGTACGAACGTGAGAACGGTTGAACTGGCAGGGCTGTGTTCATTTATCCTGTCAGCGAATGATATCGACCAATTCTTCGAGGTGGTATGCGTAGATTGTCCTCACATGCTTCAATTTCGGAATTTTCGTCAAATTAGCCACCCATCTTTCACTGCATGCTTATGCTTGGTGTATAGAATTTTCGGACCGTCCTACTAATACATCTATTTTGTACTCCCTCCTTACATGACATAAACTCGGTGTGAAGTGAACCCATATATGCACATTAGAAGATGCCTGCGTTATCGCCCCATCTCATCTCTAGAACGCTCGCTATGTCGAGCTACCCGGAACGCCTCCTGTGCCTATGATTATATTGTCCTTTATCTTCCTACCCAAATATCTTTAAAAATCCCCACATCCCAATCCCACTGAGTACCGGGATAGTCAAGTTGTCATCCCACCCAAATATGTCTACCACCTCACTAGCTGCCGCCGTAAAACCCGTCCAAACACTCATTATACCTAAAGCCAGCCCCCCAGAAATGACGCTTTGAGCCTCATTCAAACCAATAAGATCCCGGATTCCCACAGGAAGGGTTAGGTCTCCCGAGAACATGAAGGGCCAGTCCAGATCATCGGGAAAGGGGCCGATTCTTGGTGCTAACCACCCCCAAAATACGGCTGCGGTGACCACGCCAACGGCGAATGCAGCGAGAGATCCAGCAAGTGATTTACCACGTCTCAACCGAGGAGTATATCTTCCGTAGGCCCGTCCAAAAGTACTCGCCGCTGTATCACACCAGCTCAAAAGAAGTATTCCCATTACACCAACATCTTTCGGAAAGAATCCAAGAACGATCCACGCGCCAAGTAAATACCAGATGACACCATTCCATCCATCGTACTCGGTTTCCCGCATAAACGCTCCAAGTAACCGCACATATAAACCGTTAAAAGCCGGATAATTATGTCGGACATAATCCACACTTGCTATGGGTATCAGGGCACCCATTAGATAAGGCGTAATAGCATTTGTTTGGACACCAGATATGTAAAGCCAAATCGTGAAGAATCCTATGGAAACGTGCAATACCTTTCTTGGTATTTCGTGGCGATGTACAAACGACCTCCATTGTCTGTGGATAGGTATAAGTCCCAAAGGACTTGGGCTTCTGCTGAAGTCTCTCCAGCTCCAGCCAGATCTTGCGCTGGTGGGGGATAGATGCCCATTTGACGCCTTTCCATTTGTACCGTTTGTTTCTTCAGGACGGACATTATCTGTAGGCTTGGAAGTCTTTTTCGTATTCTTGGCCGTGGAAGTTGCTACTTTTCGAGGTTTCAGAGGACTTCGACTCCTTGTCCTGGATCTGTCCAACTCAATAGCTGAGTCCTCGGGGTCTGTTTCACCCTCATCTATCCCTTCGTCTATTGGGACTGTCTGCGCTGACAGCTTCTTTCTCGCAGATCTGGTCATAGGTCCGAAATACTCTCCATTTTGGGATAGTTCCGACGGGGTTGGAGAAGGAGATATGACACGCGGAGTAGCCGGAATATCTGAATATGATCTCGACATTGCAAATTTTGGCAAACAAGGCACTGGGATAACACCGGCGAGTGTCCGTCGACTAAAGGCAAACGTTCGCAATAACGAGATGGTAGAGATGAGATGTTTGTCTTTCCGTGAAGAGCGTTCTATGTCGTTGTGGGGAGTAGTATCAAACGAATTTATTGTGTGAGAAGGCACAAGAAGTGCAGACTGAGCTGCATTGTTGAAGAAAGATATGATGACTTTTTGCGCCCCGTGAAGACGTGGCACATGAGTTATATGGTGGTTTCTTTTTTAAGTGTCAACGGAGATTGAATTAAATGAGACACGGACTGATAAGACGACCCGGACGCGGCACAGAAGAAATGAATAGAAGATTATTACTCTGAATTCCTGAAAAGCATGACTAAGCACGCGACCACGAACACTTTTACATGTGAAATTGATACTGGATGACTGAGGGAAGAATATGAATCTACCTACTAATAATGTAGAATGGAATAAAATGTTCTTACCCTTTTCAATAATCCTCTCGTTGTCTCTATTTTCCTGTCATGTCAATATCAACGTTTGTTTACTTCACCAATGGATAAATTGGTAAAGGATTACCTACCAGTAGTATTTCTTGCATTCATGCTTCTGACGTAGAACAGAAAGTGTTTGAACCTTGAATGTATGGAGGGAGAGGTGCGTTCCCGACAAGGGTCCCGCTCGTTAACTAGGTGGTCGGACCCGGAAAAAAATGTTGATCCCGATAAGATAAGAAATTTCCATCGACGGAAAACTAAAAACGTAGAAAAACCTAACAAGCTTCATACCATCACAACATAATCATGGCAATTGAGAGCGAGAGAAAGAGAGATCCAAGAGCTTGGGATGCGCTCACGCCTTCATTGGCGGAATGGGTATTGGATGCCATCTCGTCAATGGGGTTTGAAAAAATGACACCAGTACAAGCATCCACCATTCCCTTGTTTATGGGGAACAAAGATGTCGTTGTTGAGGTAGGTCTAGTATATCACCATGCAAACCTCGTACTAATAACTTCAAGGCTGTCACAGGTAGTGGAAAAACTTTATCCTTTCTGATACCCGTTGTGGAAAAGTTGTTGCGATTGGAGGAACCTCTCAAGAAACACCATGTGGGAGCTATAATTGTCTCCCCAACTCGAGAGCTCGCGACCCAAATTCATTCGGTCCTCACATCTCTACTCAAATTTCACGAGCCATCTGCGGAAGCACTGCAACCATTGGAGGAAGGCGAGAAACGAAAGCCTTCGTCCACCTTAAGAGTAATCCCACAACTATTACTTGGGGGTACGACTACTCCGGCGCAAGACCTAAGCAGATTTCTTAAGAATAGCCCCAATCTCCTCATCTCAACACCTGGTAGATTACTAGAACTACTTTCATCTCCGCATGTTCATTGCCCACAATCTTCCTTCGAGGTTTTAGTGTTAGACGAGGCAGATAGGTTATTGGATCTGGGTTTCAAGGATGATTTACAGAAGATTCTCGGCCGTCTGCCGAAGCAGAGGAGGACAGGTCTTTTCAGTGCCAGT